TCATCTTCCCAAATTCTCCCCTGCCATGTGTGCTGAGCCTGCTGGCAGGACTGTTTCTTTGCCACTGATCTTGATGGCCAGTGATGTAAGCCTTTTCCTGTCTTTTTGAGATCTGGTTGAGATCTTTGTGGAGAACCACTACTGTCGTTCACTAGCTTGTATCTGCCAGCAACTTTGAAGAGAATCAAGATTTGAAGATTGACCTTCACTTCTTACTGTCCTTTCTATGATGGAATGAAGGTTTTCAATGCCAGAATGGCTATTATGTTTTAAAAGTGGTTTAAGTATTGAAAATGAGTGATGTTAGTGAAGTGAATTCAAAATTACAATGTGTAAAAGGGATTTTAAAAGTCTAACACAAATTGTATGTTCTGGTACATCTACTAGAAACATACATTGTCATCAAAACAAATGTTACACGTGTACTATACAGTCTTTGTTAGGATGATTGGTGTGGCTTTATGTTTTCATTATAAACTCCTATTTTTCAGGGGCTTAGAATTCTGCTCTAAAACATTGCTCTGGATAATGAAGTCATCTTCCCAGGAGCTTTTTCGTTAAAAATTGGAAGAAAAATTTAGTTTAGTTCTATGGATGCAAATGTTTTTCTGGTTTTTAAAAGATGCTTAATTGTGCTCCTATGAGGAAAGTTCCGGCAGTTCATTGATTAGTCCAAATTATAGGCTTGTGGCCTGATGTGCAGGAGGCCTTGGGGAGCCTCCCTACCAGATTTTTTCAAAGGAAATATTACCCAAGATTATAAAACTCCTCAAAGCCTAGGAATTTTAATGTTATGGCTGAAATTCCTCCCAGCTTTCTGATAGGAGATCCCTATGTGGGAGCTCTAGGCCCACAGGCCTAATATGTTGAGAGTGGACAGCTGTAACTTTGAATCTGGTTGGGTTTTGATGTTCATGCTACTCCTAGTCTCCCTCTCAGACCTTTCATTACTAGCCTTGCTTTCCGTAGAGCACGCACCAAATTCAGGGAGTCCGTGTGAAAAGAGCACTGTGGGCAGGGGCAGCGGCACAAGAGCCCACGAGGAAAACTCCCGGTGATGATCTGACACTGCATTTGCCCCACACAGAAATTTAGCGGTCCGAATCAAGCTTAATGTTTACAGTTTCCGAATAGCCATCTTGCAGTGTATAGTTTCCTTATAAAACTACCCTGCATTCAGTTTTCCCTTTATCTGCAAGCTCAAACTTATTTTTAAGGTTTGTGTACAAGTCAACTGCTGTAAAGATCTATATTTTTGGGTCAGTTTTTTTTCCTTCATTAACTTGGTGGTAGAAAAATATATATACTTAGAAATCCTTAAATTAAAGCCATGTTTTATATATAAGTCAGGTAACATTGGTGTATAGATGAGAATGCAATTAAACCTGATGAGGATCTACTGGAGGAGAATACGGAAAGTGTCTTTCTCTAAAGGAGATACTTATTCCCTGGTTTATTGCATTAAAACTTACGTTTGAGGTTACCTCAACTTGTTTTAAAAGATTTTGTTTTGTGAATTTGTACTGTATATTTGAGTAACTGTCAAGCTTTTGTTTTATTTAAAATTGTTTAACATGTACCATGTACATGTCATTACTATATTTCAATGCATCATGCTTGTAACAGGCATTTCATTTATAATAAGAATGAGTTATTCATTTGTAAGCTGTTCAGTAATTTATCTACTATTCCTAAATTGGCATAATGTTAGATATCTATTTTGAATCACCTTTAATTACATGTCAGAATGCCTTAACTACCCTAACTTGACGAAACAGAATTCTTTGGTAGAAGAGATAGGGGACTGGGCAGGGAGGGGTGGGTGGAGTTACATTCTGTTTAAATACAGAGTACCCGTCGTGCTGCGATAAAACATGGAAGCGTGAGCAGCAAGTGGCGGGTATTTATTTTGCACAAACTGTTTGCAGTCTCTGTGTATTTAAAAAGTAAAGAAAGTTGCATCCAGAAGGGTTTTGTTAGAAGGAATACATTTACATTTGGGCTGACAATTTCGGTTCTTTTGTTTGGGTTTTTAATTATTTCTGGTCAGAGGTATGTCGCCTTATGATCTGGATATATTTTGCATTAATTTTCCAATGCCTACATTTAATTCCTTGTAAGAGCGGTGCTGGTCAAGTCACTGGCTTTTCTCTGCTCTCATTTAACCCATCAAACAGTCTCTTTAAAGCTAGATTGGTGATGTTTTACATGACTCATTTAATCAACTTCATCTTTTTTGAGAAATGACCATTAGAAATTGACAATGTTGGTGTCAGTGATATGAAAATAGTTGGAAAAGAATTTGAGTTTCACAATGGAGCTGACTTTGGACCTGGCCTATAGATTAGTGACACAGAATATTTTCTCTCTTTTCTTTTTGCCCTGTCCTTTGTGTGTGACACAGTTAATTTTATGACTGCCAGGGAGTGATGGGGGGGTGATCAGTTGGAGTGCTGCTTAACAAGTAACACTCCTTCCACTCCCAGTAGTTAGAGGCTCTGCTGGACCCATACTGGAATTTTCCAGGTCACAGAACCCAAATCTCTGTGGGGTGTGACTGCGATATACCAGTTGGTGGGTCTGATTCTGAACTTGATGTGTGTTAATTGCATTTTAAAATCAAGCAGAATAAAACACACACGTTTGCCTCATGTAATGGACTTTTATAACAAAGAGAATTTGGATTTCTAATTTACAAATGGCAAATTATTTATCCCTCTCTGGATGCACCAAAGACCAGTAAAGTTTATAGCTTTTCCATCTATATTTATAAAGCAATACTGTATTATAAAAATCAATATTTTTATCACATGCTTGAAATTTTTATTTTATTCTGTTTTAAAATGTGCACTCTAAACATATCAGAACCTTATTTCTTCCTGTGAACTTAAGCTGCCTGCGCACAAAAAAAATTCACTGAATGGATAATGCAGTAGAGTCCATTAGGCTCTTAGAAACTGAAAGAAGAGATGGGGGAGGGGAAACAAGTTATTTGTCCTGAATGACTGTACTGGCGTGACATGGTTGGTAGGTACTAAATCACAAAAGAATCCATTCCAGGTATGCATGTCTGGGGGGTGGGCTGTGTCTAGAGTAGAAACTAGATTTCAAGCTTTGCATGATAGGAGAGTGTCCTCTTCTATCAGCTGCATTTGTTCCAGATAGAACAGTCACCTTCAGGACCACCTTTAGTACCACCAGCCTACCACATGGAGCAACAAGGCAGAATTATGGGAATTCATGGAGTCAGTTTTGAGCATTTTGGAGATTGTAAACAAGATTGGTTAGAACTGTAAATGTTTGTACTTTTGAATAAGTTCATGGTTCCTTGTCACCTTATACCAGCTATCTTTGTTAGAAGCTACAGCATCCAATTTCCCTAGAAACTATCACATTTTTGCAGTTAACAAATTTCACAAGATCAAAAAAATCCCCCAAATCTGCTTATAAAATTGAAAATATGAAGCAGAAAAGCATTTGGATTCTATTCATTAAAAAAAATTCTTTGCAAAATTGAATTTCTCAACTAAAAAGCGACAGTGTCCATGTCAAAATTTTAACTGTTAGCAGGTAGTTTGTGGCAAAGATGGCTAAATACTGAAACAAATTTGAATTTGTGTATACTAATGAGCTGCTTTTTTCTGTTGAGACTATCATTATTTGTCTTACCCAAGAGGCAATGACCTGAATTGGATGTCTGAAATATAACTTATGCAGGAATAGTTCTGTAAATACATTTAAATAAGCTGTAAAGATATTTAATAAATATAGTATTTATACTAACCTGTGTAACTCCTCTTAATTTGAACTGTTACAGAGTAAGACACCAGTCCTTGGCATTTTGTTGGTTTCTATATCAAGTCCTCATTTCCAAGCCTCTTAGTCATTCTAGCAGGAACTCCTTAATTTGTATCTGTCATTTTCTCTCTTTTACTAGTTTATCCCCCTGAGCTCTTTTTCACCAGCTGGTTTACTACATCAGTTTAGCTGCCTCAAAAATTCCATCAAAATGGACTGATAATTGAATGAAAATATAGATGTTTTCCCAACTGAGAAGCCTTCTGCATCTTCCAAATGGTGTGGAATGAAGCCACAAAAAAATCTGGTGTCATTGAAACTTAACATTCTGTATGCAAATTCTAAAACCCAAATTATAGATAATTTAATAGTGTAACTATCTTTCCCAGACTGGTGCTGCACCCAGACAATTACTGATGACGGTGCCCTCACAGCCTATAACCCTTGGCCTGCTCGGTGAGTGAACCAGAAACTTCACCCTCTGCAAGCTCTATAGTTACTCGAGTATAAATGCTCTCTTTGTCGTCATCTGCATCTGTCAGGAATATGTGAAATGCAGTGTTAATCATCACTGTAAGCATAAGATATGTAAATCTTTAGCCTACAGTGTGAAAGGACTTGAAATTATATGGGCATTGCCAATTTCCACAAAAAGCTTGGTGAAAGCCATTTTCATTCATTGAGGAACATTTTGGGACAAACTTGAGTTTTTATTAGGTTATTGTGGGTAGCTCTGACTCATTACTAAGCTACAAGAGCCAAATTCATTCTGGTTTTAGTTAGAACTGTGTTCACAGTTCTAAAGTTTACTAATTCACTCAGCCACCTTTGTGTATGAATTCCTCACAAAATGTAAAGTACAACTGCTTGCCAGTTAACATTTCCTTGTGATTTGTTGGTTTCACAAAGACTTCACAGTAAGACATTGTGGAAGTCAAGAGTTTGTCAGGTTATATGTCAGGTTATAACTGACTGTAAACAGGTTTGGGGGAGGGAGAGGCATGCATCATATTATGTAATAATGGGTTTGTGCCAGATTTCTTTAGTCTGTTTGTTCAGGTAAGAAGCTAATTCTTAAAGGGGCAAAAGGACAGAGACATTCATCATCTACCTCATTTTACTCCAAACCTAGGCTTTTACAGTGGAAGTTGCTGCTCTATTTTAGATAATACAGAAATAACTTAAGCAGCAGTTCCATTAAATTATTTTCTGCATCCCACTGCAAAATGTATATATCACATGTGAAAATCAGAACAATTTAAGGCTGTAAAATAAAATTTCACAATTTATTAAAAGACTCCAAAGTGAGGGGGGTAGCTATATATTTTTATTCTTGACCTTTTTTTCAGGGATTATTTTTACTTAAAATCTTAACAAAATATAAAAAGCGACGGACAAAAAGTCATGGCATTACATGGGAAAAGACTGCATAGCTTTTAAATATGTCTCAAAGCACCAAAACTCAAATGTTTGCAATCAAATACAAAAGCTACCTACAAGTCACAGAACTATAAGCCATATTGACGCACTCTAAGTGGCGCTAAAAAAAGTCTAAATACCTTTATAAAACTGGCAAAGGAAACGCTAAAAGCTCTAGTGTGAACGTGCGTTGAATTGAAGAATTCTAATGAGCTTTTTCCCTGCACAGAAGACTTCTGCCTCCAAGCAGCATAATGGGTTTTAAGCAAATATGTACACTTAACAAGCAGCTATTTCTAGATATGGCTGTTACACAAGATGATGATGTTTAGCAAAGCAGAAGCCCATCCTCCCATTTCAAGGAAGTCCAAGACAGCATCTCTATAGACTAAATGTGAAAACATGTTTGAGGTGCGAGTGAACTAACAAATGGGCTGGGGGCCAATTCAGCTATCATTAAGTGTTAGAATGTGGAAGATCTGCCATTATTCATGTCCTCTTCAGTGTCACTTGCTGTTGCCAGACTGTCAAAACGGTGGTTGAAGTGTTCTTGCTGGTCAGAAGAAACTGCTCCAAAGAACATGCAAGAAAACTGGAGGGAGAAAAGTAACTCCACTGTTCATTTGAGTGAAAGTCAGTGCTCATTAGATGCTCCGGGTAAAAGCCCATTTTCAGAAACTTGGCCCATGTGGTCTCCCTAACTTTGATGGTCATGGTTCATGGAACCAAACCTTCATGACTGGTACAGCACATCCTAAAACAAAACCCTTCCCTGCCTAAAAGGAACAGTTTGGGATCAGTGATCTTCTGACTCCTCTGCTGGAGCCATTAAAACTCACACCAAGGGAATGATAGACAAAAGGACCCTCTGCAGGCAATCCTACTTGACTAATCCATCTTCTCCCCTTTCCCTCCTACTGCAGCTGAAGCTACCACTCCCAGCTACAGCCAATCCTTCCCTCCCCGTCTCTCAGGCCTACCCAGACTGCTTCTCTGTTGAATAGGAATACTAGCACTTAGGGTGCCTGGGTGGCTCAGTCATTGGGCATCTGTCTTTGGCTCAGGTCATGGTCCTGGGGTCCCGAGCCTGGAAGCCTTGCTTCTCCCTCTCCCACTCCCCCTGCTTGTGTTCCCTCTCTTGCTGTGTCTCTGTCAAATAAATAAAATCTTTAAAAAAAAAAAAAAAAGGAATATCAGCAATTAAGTGTCTCTCATCTTTAAAATACAAATAGCCTTGGGGCGCCTGGGTGGCTCAGTGGATTAAAGCCCCTGTCTTTGGCTCATGTCATGATCCCAGGGTCCTGGGATCGAGCCCCACATCGGGCTCTCTGCTCAGCAGGGAGCCTGCTTCCCCCTCTCTCTCTGCCTCTCTGCCTACTTGTTATCTCTGTCAAATAAATAAATAAAATCTTTAAAAAAAATAAAATACAAATAGCCTTATCCCATCCCGCCCCCTGCCTCAACTATTGCTTTACCTCTGCTGTCAAACTGTCTACTTTGACTGTCTCCATTTTCTCATTCTCTGATTCCTTAGTCTTGTTTCTTGCTGATACAAGAAATACCACTTCACAAACTGTTCTTATGGTCACCCCAAATCACCACATCCTTAAGGCAATGACCATTTTCTGTCTTTTTTTTTTTCTTAAGATTTTATTTATTCATGAGAGAGAGAGAGAGAGAGGCAAAGGCAGAGGGAGAAGCAGGCTCTCTGCTGAGCAGGGAGCCAGACGAGGGACTCAATTCCAGGACTCTGGGATCATGACCAGAGCTGAAGGCAGACACTTAACAACTGAGCCACCCAGGTGCCCCCATTTTCGGTCTTCATCCCAGTTGTTACTCAGATACTTTCTTCTTGTCCCTTCCTCAAGCCACACTCTCCTGGTTGCTTTTAGACTTCTCACCTGGCTGGCCATCTTCTGCCCACCCTTTGAATTAAGGTTTCTCCATCCCAGCACTACTGACATTTTGGGTCTGATGAGTCTTTGTTGCAGGGGCTGTGCTGCCCAGCAGAGGGTCCCTGAGCAGCGTCCCTGGCCTCTACTCACTGGACGTCAAGTATCACCCCCCTTCCCAAACTGCACCATCCAAAAATGTGTCCAGACATTGCTCAATATCCCCTGGGGAGCATAATTGCCCCAGGTTAAGAACCACTTCTGTGATGATAGTCCTCTCTTCTGTACCCTCTCCCTAGGAGATTCCATTCATACCCCTGGCTGAAATTAGCACCTATATATGCCAGGGAGTCTCAAAGTTAGAATTTGAACTTCAATCCATATATCCTGCCACTTACTTGATTTCTGCAACTTAACATATCCAAAACTGACTTTGTGATCTAAGTGAGCAGTGAACCTGTTTCTCCAAACCTAAGTCTTTCTGAAACCTTTTTCCTTTAACCTCTATAACCATAACCAAATCCTGTTACTTTTACCTCCACAGTTGGTTGTCATCTTTGGCCACGCCCCTCCATCTCTACTCTAAGGGATCACCATCTCAGATGCTACAACTGAGCTTCCACTCTTGTCTCACTGTATCCCATTCTTCACACGGTAGCTGCTTTGTTCTACAGTTACCTTTTAAAAATCCAACTCTGTACAGTGCACCCAAAATAAGAAGATATCTAGGAATAAACCTAACTAAAGAGGTGAAAGACCTGTTCTCTGAAAACTATATAAAAAAGATGAAAGAAATTGAAGATGACACAAAGAAATGGAAAGACATTCCATACTCATGGACTGGAAGAACAAATATTGTTAAAATATCTTTACCACCCAAAGCAATCTACACACTTAATGCAAACTCTATCAAAATACCAACAGCATTTTGGCAGTACTAGAAAAAACAATCCTAAAATTTATCTGGAACCACAAGAGAACCCAAATAGCCAAAGCCATCTTGAAAAAGAAAAGCAAAGGCTGGAGGCATCACAATTTCAGACTTTAAGTTATATTACAAAGCTGTAGTGATAAAGACAGTATGGTACTAGCACAAAAACAGACACAAAGATCTGTGTGAACCGAATAGAAAATCCAGAAATAACCCACAATTATATGGTCAGTTAATCTTTAACAAAACAAGGAAGACTATCCAATGAGAAAAAGAATGTCTCTTCAACAAATGGAGTTGGGAAGACTGGACAACAACATGCAGAAGAATGAAACTGGACCACTTTTTACACCATACACAAAAATAGATTAAAAATGGATTAAAGACCTAAATGTGAGACCTGAAACCATAAAAATCCTAGAAGAAAACACAGGCAGTAACTTCTTCAACACTGGCTGTAGCAACTTCATTCTTGGTATGTCTCCTGAGGCAAAGGAAACAAAAGCAAAAATAAACTATTGGGACTACATCCCCCCCACCAAAAAACAAACAAACAAACAAACAAACAAAAAAACTGTTCTACAGCAAGGGGAGCAATCAACAAACTGAAAGGCAACCTACAGAATGGGAGAAGATATTTGCAAATGACAGAGCCATTAAAGGGTTAGTATCCAACATACATAAAGAACTTATAGAACCCAACACCCAAAAAAGAAACCAATTTTAAAAACTGGATGAAAAGGGCACCTGGGTAGCTCAGTTAGTAAAGCATCCCACTCTTGATTTCAGCTCAGAACATGATCTCGGGGTCGTGAGAGCAAGCCCCAAGTCAGGCTCTGTGCAGAGTCTGCTTGTCCCTCTTCCCCTGCTCCTCCCCCCTGTGTGGGCACTCACTCTCTCTCTCGCTCTCTCTCTCTCTCTGAAAGAACTAAAATCTTTAAAAAAAAAATAGAAGACATGAAAAGATATTTTTCCAAAGAAGACTTACAGATGGCCAACAGACACATGAAGATGCTCATCATCACTTAACATCAGGGAATTGTAAATCAAAACTACAATATTACTTCACACCTGTCAGGATGGCTAAAATCAACAACACAAGAAACAACAGGTGTTGGTGAGGATGTGGAGAAAAAGGAACCCTTGTGCACTGTTGGTGGAAATGCAAACTAGTGCAACCACTAGTGCACCACTTCCCCAAAAAGTTAAAATAGAATTACCTCATGATCCAGCAATGGCACTACTGGGTATTTACTCAAAGAATGTAAGAACACTAATTCAAAGTGATACATGCACCTCTATGTTTACAGCAGCATTATTTACAATAGTCAAAATACAGAAGCAGGGCGCCTGGGTGGCTCAGTGGATTAAGCTGCTGCCTTCGGCTCAGGTCAGGATCTCAGGGTCCTGGGATCGCGTCCCGCATCGGGCTCTCTGCTCAGCAGGGAGCCTGCTTCCCTTCCTCTCTCTCTGACTGCCTCTCTGCCTACTTGTGATTTCTGTCTGTCAAATAAATAAATAAAATCTTTAAAAAAAAAAATACAGAAGCAGCCCATGTATCCATCAATTGATAAATGGAGTAAGAAGATGTATATATATACAATGGAGTATTATTTGACCATAACAAAGAATGAAGTCTTGCTACTTGCAACAACATGGATACATGTAGAGAGTATAAAGCTTAACGAAGTAAGTCAGAGAAAGACAAATTCCCAATGATTTCACTCATGTGGAATTTAAGAAACAAAACAGGAGATAAATAAGGGACAGAAAGAAACAAAAAATAGACTGAGGGCATCTGGGTGGCTCAGTTGGTTAAGTGTCTGCCTTTGGCTGAGGTCATGATCCCAGGGTCCTGGGATCAAGCCCCAACATTGGGCTCCCTGCTCAGTGGGGAGTCTGCTTCTCCCTCTGCCTCTGCTTCTCTTTGCCCCACTCATTCTTTCTCTGTCTCTCTCAAATCTATAAAAACAAAAAACAAACAAACAACAACAACAACAACAACAACAACAACAAAAAACACAACAGACTCTTAACTACAGAGAACACACTGATGGCTACCAGAAGGGAAGGGGACCGGAGGGTAAGTGAAATGGGTGATGGGGATTAAGGAGCACACTTAGTGATGACCACAGACAGGGTGATGTATGGAAGTGTTGAATCATTATTGTACACCTAAAGCTAATATAACACTGTAGACAAACTGAAATTAAAACCTAAAAAAAAAAAAAAAAAAAAAGTCAGAGGCAGAAGGGAAAACCTCACTGCAAAACTAAAACTTAGGCTAAAAAATAGTATTTAACAGACACTAAAAAAAATTTTTTTTTAATTTAAATAAAATAAGGCACCTGGGTGGCTCAGTCAGTTAAGCGTCTGCTATCAGCTCAGGTCATGATCCCAGGGGCCTGGCATCAAGGGCTGCATCCCCCTTGCTCAGTGGGGAGTCTGCTTCTCCCTCTTTCTCTGCCCACCACTCCCCCTGCTTGTACCCTCTCTCTGTCAAATAAATAAATAAAATCTTAAAAAAAATTTTTTTTTTAAATGAAAATCCAATTTTGTCAGCCCTCCCTGTTAAAGTTCTTCAAAAACTTTAAATGCCAAGGTACTTAAATGGCCATTTATGTAGCTTCCAGGACTCATGAGGCATGATCTGGTCCTCAACAACTGCTCTAACTTCACCCTATGCCATTGTTTCCCCTTGGCTCTCTGCTCTCTGCTCAGCCAGCCTTCACTTTCTTAAAACCACCACACTTCCTTCAGCACAGGGCCTTTGCACACGCCATACATGCACCCAATTCCACTACTTTAATCTTTCTAGCTCAGCCCAAACACCAGTTTCAGGGAGAAGGCTTTCTGACCTAAATTCGGTCAGTCACATCTTAAATCCTCTCAAAGCACCCTGAACTTTTCCTTTATTGAACTCATCACAATTTTTTAAATTAGCACATATTTAGTCATGTGACTATTTCTTTAATGTGTATCTCCCCCCTAGTCTATAATCAAGTTTAGGAATTCTTGTTTATTTTGCTCTCCATTGTATTCCCCACATCTAAGACACATGACCCTTAACAGATACTTATGGGAATTCCATGGTAGTTGGATGAATAAATAAATGATTGACCCCTGTTCTGGCTCATTCTCACATATCAGAGAGTGAAGATGCTCTCTGCAGAGTGGCAGTCAGACAGCAGTTGTGGAATTCTATTTCAGATGGAACACCCCAAATTAGCTGTGATAGATAGAATGCCCCCCCAATGGTGTGTACATCTTAATCCCAAGAACTTCTGAATATGTTATGTCATGTGGAAGAGGGAGATTAAAGATAGTAGATGAAATTTAAGTTGCTAATCAGCAGACTTGGACCATCCAAGTGGGCCCAATGGGATTACAAGGATCCTTAAGGTGAAGGAGGGAGAGGAAGAATAAAGGTCATGGTAAAGTGATGTGAAAAAGACTTGACCAGCCATTGCCTGTGGGTTTATTTGTTTTTTTTTTTTTAATTTTATGAGCACATTTCATAATTTTATTAAACTTTTAAAAAAGATTTTATTTATTTGAGAGAGCATGAGCAGGGGAGAGGGGTAGAGGGGGAGGAAGAAGCAGGCTCCTCGCTGAGCAGAAAGCCCAACACGGGGCTCAATTATAGGACTCTGGGATCATGACCTGAGCCAAAGGCAGATGCTTAACTGACTGAGCCACCCAGGTGCCCCCACTGCTGGTTTTGAAGATGGAAGAAAACCACAAACCAAAGAATGCAGGTGACCTCAAGAAAGTAGGAAAGGCAAGAAAACATTGTTCCCTAGAGGCTCCAGAAAGGAACATACCCCTGTCAACACCTAGATTTTAGCCCAATAAAGACCCATTTTTGGACTTCTGACCTTCAGATCCTTAAGACAATAAACTGGTTGTTTTAAGGCTCTAAATTTGTGGTTATTTGTTCTAGCAGTAATAGGAAATTAATGCAGTATTGGCTTTGATTTTAACTAGAGGCATAGTCTCATTTGCGTCTAAAGAATTAGCTTGGGGGTGCCTGGGTGGCTCAGTGGGTTAAAGCCTCTGTCTTCAGCTCAGTTCATGATCTCAGGGTCTTGGGATCTAGTTGTGCTCTCTGCTCAGCGAGGAGCCTGCTTCCTCCTCTTTCTCTGCCTGCCTCTCTGCCTACCTGTGATCTCTGTCTAATAAATAAATAAAATCTTAAAAAAAAAAAAAAAGAATTTAGCTTGGACCAAGGTCAAGGTTCTAAGGCTGGAAATGACCTAAAGATAGCACCTGCGTCCATTCAGTGTATATCACATGCACATAGCTCTTCATAATGTTTATGGTGCAATATAGTAGACTAGAAAGCTTACATTTACTTTGGTTTTTGAAAATTGCCCTGAATTTGCTATTAGGGTAAATAGTCTTTGCTACCCTCTCTGTACTAAACCTCTGTAGTTCACTGTAAATATAATTTGGACAAAATGGGGAACGGAGGCACGGAGGCCATGGGAAGGCTCCCAATAGTTTGGGTGGAAGATGATAAGGGTCTAAATAACAACCATATTGTAATTTCGGTTTTGCAGGAGTTTGCCACATTAAAGTAAATAATACCCTTTAAAATAGAACTGTGTTGGGGCGCCTGGGTGGTTCAGTCTATCAAGTGTCTACCTTCGGCTCAGATCATGATCCGAGGGTCCTGGGATCGAGTCCCATACCGGGCTCCTTGCTCAGCGCAGAGTGGGGAACCTACTTCTCCTTCTCCCTCTGCCTGCTGCTCCCCCTGCTTGTGCTCTCTCTCTCTAATAAATAAATAAAATCTTTTTTAAAAATAGAGCTTTGTTTTTAAGAATTGAAGTGGTATGATGGGAAAGTTGAAGAAGAGTCCTACAATGGTGCTCACGGAGCTTCCAGTTCTTTATAAATGTCACTTTCCCTAGCGAGGAAATGGAAATCTTAGTGAACTTCAGGGAAGCGAAATGGTCAGAAAATGTTTTTGTGTTGTTACCTTTGAAAAAGTAAGCACATTATGTGTGACCAAAAGCACAGGAGGAGAAAAATACTTCTGTATAATGAAAGACAAATTTCAGTTTTCACCTTATGACCAAGCTAGTAATACACAAGAGAAAATTGCTGTAACTGCTAGGCATATAATAGGTATTCAATAAACAGCATCAAACTGAATAACGAATGGCGTTTACTACCCAATTTTACTGGGCTAAAAGTCTTTTATACAGTGTAAGATAATGACTTTTTTTAAAAGATTTTATTTATTTATTTGACACACAGAGAGAGACACAGTGAGAGAGGGAACACAAGCAGGGGGAGAGGCGGTCAGAGGGAGAAGCAGGCCTCCTGCCAAGCAGAGAGACCCATGTGGGGCTCGATCTTAGGACCCCAGGATCATGACCTGAGCTGAAGGCAGACGCTTAACAACTGAGCCACTCAGGCACCCCAATATATACTATTTCTCCCTTCAAATTTCTAAGAAACATATTTTGAAACCAATAATAATAGCAACAGTAAAACAAGCTTGAATAGAACATTAACATAAACATGTTAAATTGGGACTTATTATTTGAGATACTTTAGACTCTAATAAATCATAGTTCTCTTCTGTTCAATAGATATCATAAGGGTTAACACAATAGCATTCTGTAAAGCTTATCATCCAGCTAGTAAAATATTGGTATTAGAATAGGTTACTAACTGGGACTCCACTATGAAGTAACTGGTAATATTTGTTGGGATGAAATTTATATTTGTACTACAATGAGTAAAGGATTTCCCAACCCAATTTGAAAAATAAAATGAGGACACTTATCTTAGAAAGTGGATTATATGACTTTAGCATTACCATTTGTATTCAAAGATTATCCTGTAAGCAATCATAATTTATTCTTTAAATCAAATGACCCAAATATCTACTTGAATATACTTTGTTGCTCAAAGAGCAATTTAAACTCTTGTACTGACAGCCCATAAGTCAGGCTGCTCCATTTCAGACTGGTTTCACCTATCAAAAAGTAAGGAAACTATTTTCAGGACATTGGGGTGGGCTTGGGCAGGGAGGCTGCCAAGGGAGACAGATGATAATTCTTGACTGAAACGTGGTCGTGCCTCAACGTTTTCCCTTTACCTTCCTCAGATATGAAGAGCCTGGCATCTCCTCCGTGTCGCTGACGCTGCTTTCTGGCACTTCACTAATGTCTCCATTCACTCTTTTCATTATAGGGCTGCCACAGTTTTCCAGCGCAGGGACATCTGTTTGAGTCTCATTAGGATGAAGCCTTTTGGGTGCTGTTTTTCTCAAGATACATCCCGGGGCCTTGCTGGTTACATTTTTACCAGTCTTTGAATTGTTGTTTGGTGAACACATCAGATCTGACCTGAGGTATTAACGGATTAAATGAATGAAATTTTTGCCTGGAAATGTATATTTTTATGTAACTAATGAAACAATATGGGATGACAATGAGAACACTAGTTTAGAGAAGATACTGAAACACAGAACTGATTGTTGAAAGTTTAAAATTTACCTCAAAAAAGTTGAAAATAGAACTACCCTACAATCCAGCAATTGCGCTACTAGGGATTTACACAAGGATACAAAAATACAGATTTGAAGGGGTACATGCACCCCTATGTTTATAGCAGCATTATCAACAATAGCCAAACCATGAAAAGAGCCCAATGTCCATTGACTGATGAATGGATAAAGAAGATATGTTGTATCGCTTCTTGGCCTTTTGGCTAAGATCAAGTGAAGAAGATGTGGTGTATATAATGGAATATTACTCAGCCATCAAGAAGAATGAAATCCTGCCATTTGCAACCAGGTAAATAGAACTAGAGTGTATTACGCTAAGCGAAATACATCAGTCAGAGATAAGTGCCATATGATTTCACTCTTATGTGAAATTTAAGAAACAAAACAGAAGATCATATGGGAGGGGGAAAAAAAGAGAGGGAAACAAACCATAAGAGACTTTTTTATTAACATATAATATATTATTTGTTTCAGGGGTACAGATCTGTGATTCATCAGTCTTTATAAAGTAGTACAGAACACACACCATAGCACATACCCTCCCCAATGTTTAGGAGATGGGATGCAGCCATCCCATCCCCTAAACCCCCTCCCCTCTAGCAACCCTCAATTTGTTTCCTAAGAGTCTCTTCTGGTTTGTCTCCCTCTCTGGTTTTGTCTCATTTCATTTTTTCCTCTCTTCCTCTATGAGCCCCTGCCTTGTTTCAGTGAGATCATATGATAACTTTCTCTGACTAACTTACTTCACTTAGCATAATACCCTCTAGTTCCAACCACGTTATTGCAAATGGCAAGATTTCAATTTCTGATAGCTGCACAATATTCCAGCGTGTGTGTGTGTGTGTGTGTGTGTGTGTGTGTGACCTTTATCCACTCATCTGTTGATGGACATCTGGGCTCTTTACATAATTTGGCTATCATGGACATTGCTGCTATAAACATTGGGCTGCAGGTGCCCCTTTGGATCACTACATTTAGGGTAAATACCCAGTAGTGTGATTGCTGGGTCGTAGGGTAGCTCTATTTTCAACTTTTTGAGGAACCTCCAAACTGTTTTCCAGAGTGGCTGCACCAGCTTGCATTCCCACCAACAGTGTAGGAGGGGTTCCCCTTTCTCCGCATCCTTGCCAACATCTGTTGTTTCCTGACTTGTTAATTTTAGCCATTCTGACTGGTGTGAGATGGTATCTCATTGTGGTTTTGATTTGTGTTTCCCTGATGCCGAGTGATGTGGAACACTTTTTTATGTGTCTGTTGGCCATATGGATGTCTGCTTTGCAGAAATGTCTGTTTATGTCTTCTGCCCAAACCATAAGAGACTTAGCAATAGAGAACAATCTGAGGGTTGATGGAGGGAGGTGTGGGGGGAGGTGTGGGCTAGATGGGGGATGGGCATTAAGAAGGGCACTTGATATGATGAGCAGTAGGTGTTATATGTAAGTGATGAATCACTGAATTCTACTCCTGAAACCAATATTGCACTCTATTTTTACTAACTAGAATTTAAATAAAAATTTTTAAAAATAAAGCTAAAATTTACATATATGATTACTTAGAAATTTTCTCTACAGATTCAAATTCTTCAGTAAAGCAACCCAGTGTGCGTGTGACAAACCTGTGATATCGTAACAGGGCCTGGGTTAGGAAAAAAAGTCAAATCATTATACATCTATACGATAAAATTCTATACGGTTATTAAAAATCGTGTTTCTAAGTCATAATCAGTGATAATGGAACATGTTCACAATATACTTTGTGAGAGACAAACAGGATAGAAAACTACATATCCTATATGATCCTGATCTTTTCTTAAAACCTTATGCAAAATAAAAAGTCTGAAAGAAAAAACAGTGAGCCAAATGTTAACTGTGGCTATCTCCAGGTGGTGCAATTTATCTTCTTTGTACTTTCCTCTGTCTTCCAAATTTCCCATAGTACCTTTAAGGTACTTATACATGGAAGCACCCTGCACCAAAAGAAAAAAAGGAGGGGGGTGGTGCCTGGGTGGCTCAGTGGGTTAAAGCCTCTGCCTTCAGTTCAGGTCATGATCCCTGAGTCCTGGGATCGAGCCCCGCATCAGGCTCCCTGCACATATTAGCACATATTTCTTGTACTGACAGCCCATAAGTCAGGCTGCTCCATCTCAGCAGGGAGCCTGCTTCCTCCGCTCTCTCTGCCTACTTGTGATCTCTGTCTGTCAAATAAATAAGTAAAATCTTTTAAAAAATTATTTAAGGGGCGCCTGGGTGGCTCAGTGGGTTAAAGCCTCTGCCTTCGGCTCAGGGTCCTGGGATCGAGCCCCGCATCGGGCTCTCTGCTCCACAGGGAGCCTGCTTCCTCCTCTCTCTCTCTCTCTCTCTCTCTCTCTCTCTCTCTGCCTGCCTCTCTGCCTACTTGTGATCTCTGTCTGTCAGGTAAATGGATAAAATCTTTAAAAAAAAATTATTAAAAAAGAAGTTATCGAGACAAAAGAAGGAAAAACAAAGGCTGTCCCCTTGTCCAAGAAAGAGTTCTAGGCAGTGAATAGAAACTTACCCGTGAAGCTTAACACTGTATCCCTCCTAAAAAATGACTGCCAAAACTGGAAATGAGGTTTGGGTAATAACAAAGATAAACCAGACAGTCCCGTCAAATTCTGATCAGAAGAGAAAAAGCAAATGTCTAGTGTGTGACTGGTGATACTCCTATGCTAGTTAGGTCCTACTGCAGCTCTTCCTGACTCAGTCACTATTTCTGATCTTCTCATGTTTTACTCCTCCATTCTTTCCCATATGAATGCCAATGAACTCTTTCAGAATAGGATTGCAGTGGCTTTCTCTAATAAAGATGTTAAAACATTGGCCTTACCTTTTTTGTTTTTGTGAAAGACACAGTGATTGCGGAGAAGATGCTCTACTTGGCTCATCAGCTAATGTAGCCAAAATAAAGTTAGCTTCCAATAACATATCATCGATACTTAAAGCCATAGGTCTAAAAACAAGCAAAGTAAGAGCAAGCATCATACATGTTTTCTGAGGGACATTAGGAAAATTAGAAAATGACGCTTCAGGAGTAAAAACAGACAGTAAAAGTCAAAGTCCTATTTGTCTTTTCACAAAGTAACATAGTCCTAAGAGCTGAAAAGGTCCTTAGACATCATCAGATCCAATTTCAAAAAGTGCATCTATCCTAACCCAATCTCTGAAATTTTAGTTCTGAAATGAAATATCATAGTTTCATAAAAATTAGACTCGTTTAAGTCATGTTTAATTTTCTAATTAGGCAATTAACTTAGCACCATGTCAAATTTTATAAATGTTTTCACTCTACAGAATGTATCTTTCTCAATTACCAATTTAAAAATGTCACGTGTGGCATCCTTCAAAATTTCCATTTGGTAAGTGTTGCTAGTAAAGTTAAGGAATTCTTGAGGTATGAATTAATTTCAAAGTAATCCAAAGGGTTTTATTATTGATATACAACAAAAGGAAGGAAGGGAGGAAGGAAGGAACTCAGAAAAGTTCCCAAGGACTTACTTCCCAGGAAAATCAAAATGAATGGCTATAGGAGCATGTGTAGCTTCTGAAAATGTCAGCATTCCCTGAAAGAAAAAAAGAAAAAAAATAGTTGGAATCTTCATTTAAAAAACTACCAGCGAAAGTGTGACACAAATTTTTGTTTACCTTCAATTCTTTGAAGCAGAATGTTATTTCAGTATCAACTCCAATTTGAAAGAAGTCAAACTCTTCCGGGCCAACAAACATTTCACTGTACACAGAATTGGTCAAATCTGTTCCACATTATAGGAAAAGAAGGAATAGAATTAGTTCCAGGGGTACTTGTTAAATTTTTATATGAAAATATAACTGTAAGTGGTAGATTAAAACAAATTTGACACTCCTTCCCTGAGAAATGGGATCTTTGTCTATGTCCCCTCCCCTTAAATTTGGGTAGTTGGGTTCTTTGACTGCTAAGATATGGTGCTATAAATGACCTGGGACTGGTTTCTGAGCCCAGGCCTTAAGAGACTGGCAACTTCCACTTCCTCTATCCTCCATCCACTTCCTCTATCCTACAACACTCACCCTTAGAACTTGGCCACCAGGCCGAGTTCATGCTATAGGAAGGCCAGGTTAATGAAGAAGCCATATGTGTGCAGTCACTCCGGCTAACAGCCCAGCTGTGCTCCCAGCATCAATTATCAGCCATGTCAGTGTGCCATGGATGGATTCAGATGATTCCAGACCCAGCCACTATCTAACTGCAATTGTATGAGACTCCAAGTACAATCTGTCTAGCTGAGCCCCATCAACCCACAGAAACATAAGAGATAAGAATAAATTATTTGGAGTTTTTCACTATAAAAATGTCTGGTATACACACTCAGAAACACACACACACACACACACACACACACACACACTCTAACTTTTCTTCCTTTTTCTCGTTTTCTTTCTTTTCTGATTGAAGTGTAGTTCACATACAGTGTTATATTGGTTTCAGGTATTTAATATAAAAACTCAACAACTCTTTATATTTCTCAGTATTCATCAAGATAAATTGCTCTTAATCCCCTTTATCTATTTCATCCATCCCCCCTCTGACAACCACAGGTTTGTTCTCTGTATTTAAGAGAATGCTTGTCTTTTTCTTTGTTCATTTGTTTTGTTTCTTAAATTCTACATATGAGTGAAATCATAAGGTGTCTGTCTTTTTCTGATTGACTTATTGCATTTAGCATTATATTCTTTTTTTTTTTAAAGATTTTATTTATTTATTTGACAGACAGAGATCACAAGTAGGCAGAGAGGCAGGCAGAGAGAGAGGAAGGGAAGCAGGCTCCCTGCTGAGCAGAGAGCCCGATGCGGGACTCGATCCCAGGACCCTGAGATCATGACCCGAGCCGAAGGCAGCGGCTTAACCCACTGAGCCACCCAGACGCCCCAGCATTATATTCTTTTTTAAAAAGATTTTATTTATTTATTTGAGAGAGAAAGAGAGGGCATGTGCAAACGAGCGGGGGTGGGCAGAGGGAGAAGGACAAGCTGACTCCCCCTTGAGCAGGGGGAGACTGATGCAGGCTCTATCCCAGGACCCTGAGATCATGACCTGAGCCAAAGTCAGACGAACTGAGCCACCCAGGTGCCCCTAGCATTATGTCCTTTAGGTCCATCCATGTTGTTGCAAATGGCAAGGTTTCATTCTTTTTTATGACTGAGTAATATTACATTATATATATACCACATCTTCTTTATCCATTTGTCTATGATGGGTTTGGGTTGCTTCCATATCCTGGCTATTGTAAATGATACTGCAGTGAACACAGGGGTGCATATATCTTTTCAAATCAGTGTTTTCATTTTCTCTGGGTAAACACGCAGTAGTGGAATTATTGGATCATATGATATTTCTATTTTTAATTTTTTGAGGAACCTCTATACTGTTTTCCATAGTGGCTACACCAATTTACATTCCCTCCAATAGTACACAAGGGTTCCTTTTTCTCCACATTCTTGCCAACACTCATTATTTCTTGCGTTTTTGATCTTAGCCATTCTGACAGGTATAAGATGATATCTCGTTGTGGGTTTTTTTTTTTTTTTCTCTTTAAAGAAAGGCAGACTACCACATGCAGCACCTCACTTGGATATGTCTGGATTCTTGGATGCTTGGCTACCCTACAATCTCCTGCAAATGGACCTTGAGAGTTTGCTTGAAGACCTAGCAGGGAAGCACAGCTATTCATATACCCTTGACCAAAGAACAGTCCTCCCCTATTGGGAAGGTTGTCCTCTGAGGGCACAGCTTTGGGAGGGACACACATGAAGTGGTGAGGTTCCCCCTCACTGGGGGACACCCGCCTAGCAGCCAGATCAGCTGAATCAATCCTGGTGGTCTATGGGATGACTGCTGTTGCAGCCACATCGCCCTCACATCTTCCTTGTGGTTTTGATTTGCATTTCCCTGCTGATGAATGATGTTGAGCATCTTTTCATGCATCTGTGCCCATCTGTATACATTCTTTGGAAAAATGAATATTCAAGTACTCTGCCCATTTTTAAAAATTTATTGATTGATTGATTTGAGAGAGAGAGAGAGAGTGAAAAGAGCTGGAGGCAGGATCAGAGGGAAAGAGAATCTTAGACAGACTCCGCCCTGAGTGCCTGACATGGTCTCAATCCCATGACCTTGAGATTACAACCTGAGCCGAAATCAAGAGTTAGATGCCGACTGACCGCACCACCCAGGCGCCCCAATCCGCCCGTTTTTAAAACTGAATCACTTTTAATAGCTTCATAGTATTTCATTATCTTTACTCTACCAATCTTCTGGTACTAGATCTGAAGTACAGAAGATGTCCCAAACTATTAAAAGACCTTACCTCTGGATAGTGGGATTTCAGGAGACTTTTTTTTAAATTAGTGCTTATTTTGTGTCTTTATTTTCTTCAATGAACATGAATTAATGTAAGTATAAGAACAAAAGATAAACAGTATAGGGGCGCCTGGGTGGCTCAGTGGGTTAAAGCCTCTGCCTTCGGCTCAGGTCATGATCTCAGGGTCCTGGGATCGAGCCCCGCATCGGGCTCTCTGCTCAGCGGGGAGCCTGCTTCTCCCTCTCTCTCTCTGCCTGCCTCTCTGCCTACTTGGGATCTCTCTCTCTGTGTCAAATAAAAAAAAAAAAAAAGATCAACAGTATATATTTTTTAAGGACCAAACACTACCCCAGAAATCATTCCTATCAAACAAGGAGGCTCATGTCACTTCTAGTGTACTATCATAGAGGAGTTTCAAAAATAAACATTGGGTCCCCAGTCAACCATAACTATAACTACTCATTAGAAAGCTGCTCACAGGGGTGCCTGGGGGCTCAGTGGGTTAAGCCTCTGCCTTCAGCTCAGGTCATGATCTCAGGGTCCTGGGATCAAGCCCTGCATCGGGCTCTCTGTTAGGCGGGGAGTCTGCTTTCCCCTTTCTCTCTCTGCCTGCCTTTCTGCCTACTTGTGATCTCTGTCAAATAAATAAAATCTAAAAAAAAAAAAAAAAAAGCTGCTCACAAGGGACAATGTCTTCTGGTTACTAAATGGCCATCTTTATTCAGAGATGACATTATGGAACACAAAACAGACCCTTTCACTAGCCAAGCATATATTTTCTAGATCATGCACTTCTGAGTGTCAAAAAACAATATTAGATAAGACTAGAAAGAAGCAATAATGGCACAGTGGTAATGAGCCTGTGCCTTGGAGCCTATGTTCAGATAATCCACACTTACTGTGTGACACCAGACAAGTCACTGAGTCTCTTCGTGCCTCACACAGAAAATGGTCATAATAATAGTACCTAAATCACAGAGTTGTTACAAAGATCACATGAATTCATAAATGGAAACCATTTAGAAAAAAAAAAAAAAAAAAAAAAAAAACATGGAGGGACACCCGGACAGTTCAGTTGGTTGAAAAGTCAACTCTTGATTTTGGTTTGGGTCATGATCTTGGGGTCCTGGGATCGAGCCCTGCATCAGGCTCCCCAGTCAGTCAGGAGTCTGCCTGAAATTCTCTCTCTCCCCGTCTCCTTCTGCCCATCCCCCTGCTCACTCTCTCCTTCTCTCTCAAAATAAATCTCCTTTTAAAAAGTTAAGAAATTTAATCATGTCTTATCTCCACTCAATCTAGGTAACTCTTGGAAGAGCTGACTTAAGAAGTAATTCGGATTTTCTGCCATGTGTATTTGCCATCTGGAATATTTTATATCTCTAGTTCAAAGCCACTTTTTCTTATGTGATTAAAGATAATCCCAATTGGATTGCTGGCCTCTTAATTTTTCTTTATGATAAAAACAAAGGGTGATAAAAGATGAAAAACGGGTGTCTGGCTGGCTCAGTTGGAAGAGCATGCAACTCTTGATCTTGGGGTCATGAGTTCAAGCCCCATGTCAGTGTAGAGATTACTAAAATATAAATACATAAACTTAAAAAGATGAAAACCAGACCTTAAAAATCTTAACTGAAAATATACTTTTCTCAGTAACGATTCTCCTAATTTTAAAATAACCTGAATTTCAAAGCTAAATATTTTAATTATTGATTATATTCCATTTCCTGGATCTCTTAAAAATTTTAACAATCTTTCTATATCTTACTGCTCTTTATTTTTTTTTAAGATTTTACTTATTTATTTTACACAGAGAGAGAGAGATCACAAGCAGACAGAGAGGCAGGCAGAGAGAGGGGGAAGCAGGCTCCCCACTGAGCAGAGAGCCCAATGTGGGGCTCGATCCCAGGAACCTGGGATCATGACCTGAGCCGAAGGCAGAGGCTTAACCCACTGAGCCACCCAGATACCCCTTTACTGCTCTTTAGACAAGAATAAATGTTATGCCACCAATGTTCACTGTATGGTCAGTCATCAAGAAACCCGGGGAGTGACATGCTATCCAAGAGCCACGACAGATGTAGTCCTTACCCATTGGTTCGTCACTGGAACTCTTAAGGCAAACACTGAGTGGGGTAACAGCAAGAGTAACTTCTTCTTGACTTGACGTAAAAAGAACAACGGCCTCAGCGAGCACTCTACAAACGTAATGAAAAGTATTATGTTGCTTGAAAAACAAGAAGAAAGAACCTTATTAATTGGGACTTGGATCTTTAATCTGGAAATAAACAAGGTTAATCAGCCGAGATTTTTTAAAAATTTACCCCCCAAAAAGCCTATCTTCTTTTTTCTATGTGAGCTGCAATATTTTTAGCATATTTTAAAATTCATTTGAAGGCCAAGAGAATAGTAAAATATATTCTTAGTAAGACATGTGAAAGCTATGGAATAAACCAGACACTGGAAGCAATGTCTTCAATTCTATGGTTTTATATACCCCATACATATTTGTAATGGCCTGCAATCACACTCCTGAGGGAGGTACTAGAAAACATTGCTGTTCAGAGAGAACTGGGTGGAACCATGCTGGAGGCGCAGGTGAGGGGTAGAGGTTTACGAGCAGCCCGTTACTTATATTTTCTTTCCATTTGTCACTTGCCCTAGATTATTACCTATTACTTTCAAGGTTGTCTTGACCTCCCGAATGCCCTTTTATCCTGGGCTCCCTTTTTCAAAATAGTTGTATTGATAAAGAATTCACATACTGTACTTCACAGATTTAAAGTTCTTTAACTTGTATTTCCCTAACTACTAAATAAGTTGAGCGCATTTTCACGTGCTTTTCAACCATTTGTATATCTTCTTTGGCAAATGATCCATGCAAATCCTTTGCCCGTTTTTTAAAAGATCTTATTTTTATTTATTTGTCAGAGAGAGACACAGCGAGAAAGGGAACACAAGGGAGTGGGAGAGCGAGAAGCAGGCTCCCCGCTGAGTGCAGAGCCAGATGCGGGTCTTGATCCCAGGACCCTGAGATCACAACCCAAGCCAAAGGCAGATGCCCAACAATTGAGCCACACAGGCGCCCCATGCCCATTTTTTTTTTTTTTTTTGGTCAGAGAGAGAGGGAGAGAGAGCAAGCACAGGCAGACAGAATGGCAGGCAGAGACAGAGGGAGAAGCAGGATCCCCGCCAAGCAAGGAGCCCGATGTGGGACTCGATCCCAGGACGCTGGGATCATGACCTGAGCCGAAGGCAGCTGCTTAACCAACTGAGCCACCCAGGCGTCCCTCCATGCCCATTTTTAATTAGCTTATCTTTATTACAAGATCTGGGCTACTTATGAAATTGAAGTGTTGTCAGATAAAAATGAGATTCTTAGAATGTATGTAATATTGACGTTAACCTGATGCTAGACATTAGCTCAGCAGTGTTTCTTGAGGCCAAAATGTCAGGAACACCTACCAGATTCATCTAGGAGCTTTTCCAGTGTTACGGGGGCGGTGTTTTATAAGATACCAAATAACCTGATACAAAAAAATTACAACATAAATGTGCAATTCAAAAAGGAAGAAAAATACAATCACTAATAAATATATGAAAAGATGTTCAAGCTCCCAAGGAATCAACACAACAAAATGGACATCTAATAATTCAATTTTCTACCTATCAAGTTAACGGAAATTTTAAAGACTGATCATGTATGTTACTTGAAAGGACTCCCCTACACTTCTGGTGGGAATGTAAATGGGCACAACATTTAAGATAGTAATTTGGTAGTCAGTATGTATGCAAATTTAAAATTTGGTAAGCCTTTGACCCAGTGATTTCATTTCTAGGACTCTGTGTTAAGCCTATAAGGTGACCCCATAGTGATCCCCACCTCCTGGTACTCATGCCTTCCTACAATCCTCTGCCGCTGAGTGTGGGCTTAACTTACCAAGTCACTTCTAACAGTGAAAATGGCAGAAGTGATGATAGGTCAGTTCCGAGATTAGGTTATAAAAAGACTTTGGCTTAGGGGCACCTGGGTGGCTCAGTGGGTTAAGCCTCTGCCTTCGGCTCGGGTCATGATCTCAGGGTCCTGGGATCGAGCCCCACATCGGGCTCTCTGCTCAGCAGGGAGCCTGCTTCCCCCCCTCTCTCTGCCTGCCTCCTCTCTGCCTACTTGTGATTTCTCTCTCTGTCAAATAAATAAATAAAATCTTTAAAAATAAATAAAAAGACTTTGGCTTCCATTTGTGAATTCTCTCTCTCAACCAGTCATCTCAGTCAACTCTCTTTCTGATCCAGTGGCCATTTTGTGATGATAATCAGATAGTGCACAGAGAGGCCTGTGTGGTGAGGAACTGAGGCCTACCACCAACCTGACTAGTGAGCTTGGAAGTTAATCTTCTGAGACCTTTCTACAGCCATGTCAGTGAGTGTGGGAGCAAATCCCCCCCCAAGTCCAGCCTTCAGATGAGACCACAGCCCTGGCTGACAGCTTGACTTCAACTTCACGAGACACCTTGAGCCAGATATACCCAGTTAAGCCATACATATAACCATGAAGTAATCAATGTCTGGTTTCTTAAAGCTCTGATTTTTGGGGAAATTTGTTCCACAGAAATAAGCAACTAATACACTTTTTGTGTGTGGCAAAAAGCTGGAAACAACCTACTTTTTCACTAAGAGGATAATGGGTAACTAAATTATGGTTCATACAATGAAAAATTATGCAACCATTAAAAACTATAAGATTGATTTAAGTGAACTGACACAGAAACTTAAAAAAGCAAGTTGCCAAATAATAGTAGGACATTTTCTGTGAAAAAATGACAAGTATGTGTCTCATAAATAATATAAATGTGAGAGGGGAGAAGAAGGAAGAGAGAGAAAGAAAGCTATCCATAGCTATAGGAGAGGGTGAGTTCCAGAGAAATTGGCTATATATGGAAGAAGATCCACAAGGGTATACACCAAATTGCTGATTGATGTTACCTCTGCCAACTGGGATAGAGAAGACAGGTAGAGGAGAAAAACTTTTCATTTTTTATCTTTACAACCCTCTATAAACTCTAGATGTATTACAAGGAGCATGTATGGCTTGTGTAACTTAAAACACAATAAGGATAAAATATCTTTGGTTCACAAAGTAATTAATGTTTAATGCTACAGCTTAACTAAATAATTGGGTGCACTTTTACTGACAAATGTACCTAACTCACTCTCTAAAGAAAAAATGCAAACACTTGGGATAAAATCAGTTTACATAAAAAATGTTAATGTTTCCTTGCGTTGTGTGTTTTATGACTCAGACAGAAGGCAATATATAAATGCAAAGTATTATTAGGTAATATATTTTTCTCTTGGTATCACTTAATGTAGAAAGCCACTAATGGGATATTTTTAGAACTTTCTTGCCACTAAATCATATTGCTACCACTAATCAATTACATTATCTACTATTATCTTTCTCGGGGTTTCCTCTTGACCTTGTAAGGAGATTTTTCCAAGTCAAATGTTAGTTTTTTTTTTTTTAATGTTAACTTTTTTTTAAAAAATGTAACTGACTTCGAATTTTAACTAAGGGCATTAGTTATTTACTCTACTCCCACATTATACTCAGAAAAAGAAGAATAAACACCAGAAAATTCATTACCTTGGTTGAATAACTAGTGTATTAGAACACATATTCTTTTCAAAAATAACTTGCAAGGGCTGACTTTCCTGAAAACACACATTATGAGTTCTTCTAATACCTTAAAAAGAATAAAGCAATCCGTTAATCATTTTAAGTGAGATGTGAACTATTTAAAAAGTCTAAGTTTCACAGCCACGTTAAAATAATAAAATTAAAGAAACATTTCCTGTCTGGCAGGTGCCTGTAGCTTAAGGAGCACTATTTTATGAAATGTGTTTATCGCCCCCTAGTGGACACCATGCAACATGCCATATCCCCGGACCAATCGGGCAGTAGAGCTCCCAAGTTCTTCTGAAATACGGTTATTTCTTAAACTGTATGTAAAATAGTGATTGCCCACTACAGTTCATGTAGCTATCATTCTCTTTCACTACCTTTCATCCAGATCTGCTATTTCTGGATTTCTGGTAATGATGAACGAACATCTGATCTGTGAATTCTTTTCTTCTGAGGGGAGGATGAGGGGAAGAGTGCATAGTCATAACAGCTAAGGCTCTACGTGCCGGCAACTGTAGTACGCATTCTACACACATTACCTATGGTCATCACAATATCCCTATGGGGTAGGCACTTAGTCTCAGAAGAGGAAACTGTAGCTCGGCGAGGCTGACTTTTACAAGGCTATTTTAACAAGGGTCGGTTGAATGTGAGTCTAAGTTTGAATATATAGCCCATGTAATAAAATCCAAGTGGGCTGTAACTTTCTACAGCATATTAATGTTGTGGTGGGACTCAAAAGGACTCACTAGAAATATTTCTCATCTAACTTGGATTTTTTTTTTTTTTCTTTTGGGAAGGAAGAGGAGAGGGAGAGAGAGAGAATCCCAAGCAGGCTCCTTGCCCAGCGCATGAGCCCAACCCAAGGCTCAATCCCACGACCCCAAGATCATGATCTGAGCTGAAATCAAGAGTTGGACGCCTAAGCAGCTGAGCCACCCAGGTACTCCTGGGTTATTTTTTTTGACACAAAATTAATAATGACAACATTTATTAATTTTGTAAGTATTTACTCACCACCTACTATGCACAAAGCTGTATTAGTTAGCTTTTGCTGGAAAACAACCCACTCCAAAACTTAGTGGCTTGAAATAACAAATATTTGTTATTTCTCACAATTCAGCTGAGTAGTTCTGGTTTCAGCTGGCTTAGCGGTGGCTGGAAATCTTGGATGGCTTCACTTTCATGTCTAGGGCCTCAGTGGGACAACCGGCACAGCTGAGACTGCTGGGAAGGCTGAGGCCTCCCACCACATGGTCTTAATCCTCCAGAAGTCTACTGTGCAGCACTTGTTCTCATGCTGAGGGAAAGGCTCCTGCCTTCACGCGGGAAGCTGCCAGGCCTCTTAAGGCCTAGGCTTGGAACTCACACAAAATCGCTTCTATTTAATTGATAAAGCAAGCCCACGGCCAGCCAAGATTCCAGCTGGGGGAACAGACTCCGGCTTTCGAAGGGTGGGGAGCAGCAAATAATTTGTGAGCACTTGTTTGGTAATCTACTACACGGGAACAATTTTAAGAGCTAGGGATTAGTTGGGGCGCCTGGGTGGCTCAGTGGGTTAAACCACTGCCTTCGGCTCAGGTCATGATCTCGGGGTCCTGGGATCGAGTCCCGCATCGGGCTCTCTGCTCAGCGGGGAGCCTGCTTCCCTCTCTCTCTCTCTCTCTGCCTGCCTCTCCGTCTACTTGTGATCTCTCTCTCTGTCAAATAAATGGGTAAAATCTTTAAAAAAAAAAAAAAAGAGCTAGGGATTAGCAAAGCACCAATTAGACAAAAATCTCTATCCTCACAGAGCTTACCTTCTAGGGAGGGGAGACGGACAATAAGAAAATAAATAATTATAGTAATTGATAGGTCACGTCATAATAAAGGCCACAGGAAAAAAGCAAAGCAGAAAGGGCATTAGGGGGTGCCAGTCATGGTAGAGAGCAAAGTTTTTTAAATTTCTTATTTATCTATTTATTTTATTTATTTGAGAGAGAGAGAGAGAGAATGAGAGAGAGAGAGCATGAGAAGGGAGAGGGTCAAAGGGAGAAGGAGGCTCCCTGCCAAGCAGGGAGCTCAATGCAGGACTCGATCATGGGACTCCAGGATCATGACCTGAGCTGAAGGCAGTCATTCAACCAACTGAACCACCCAGGCGCCCCGATAGATAGCAATTTTAAATAGGAGGTCAAGGAAGACCTCATGGAAATGAAGCCATCTGAGTAAAGACTTGGAGGAGGAGCAAGCAATATGATATCTGCAGAAGAAGCTTGCTAGGCAGAGGGCTTCCAACCCGTGTAGGACCTTACTGACCGTTGTAAGATCTCTGGCTTTTAACCTGGATAAATGGGGAGGATTTGCAGGGTGGGGATAGGAATTTGGAACACTGGAATGACATATCCAACCTATTACATCTTTGCACTCCTCCATAAATTTTTGGATATACTACAAAGAGCATGGCACTGTGAGGAATTACTGCGATTTTGATTTTGGGAAGACACAAAGCTCAAAAGTTGGCACAACTTACCCTGTTTTAAAAACTATTTTCAAGTTACTTTTGGAGCAACGGGTATTAGACGCTTGTGGTCTAAATTTCAAAAGATACCAAAGAGCAGACAGTGGAAAGTAAGTCACCCCCAGCCCCTGACTCCTGCCACCCCCCGTATCCTCCACAGAGAGAACCACTGTTACCAGTTTCTCCAGTATTCTTCAAACACAGCCTTGATATATACAGCACGATCATACCTCTAGAACATACCTCAAAATATTTCACTGAAGTGAATACTGGCATTGTCAAAGATGTCCAAGCAGAGAATATCTAATTTCTTTGTCATTCCTGATGCTCCTTTTCCTGCCACTTGCTGTCTTCTCCTTTTTCCTTATAGACAAGTGCCAAACACTTTCAACCTATACCTTTGCTCACATTGCTCTGTCCTGCTCCCTCCTCACAGGAGTTTCCACCTACTAGAAACTCACCCAGTTGTGGTGCCCCTAACCACAATGCCTTCCCTCTCCACCTTTCTCTCCTTTGAATCTCTGGTCCAAAGAACATCCACTGTACCCTCTTTATTTTATCTTATTTTTTTAAGTAGGTTCCACGCTGGCCACAGAGCCCACATGGGGCTTGAACTCATAACCCTGAGATCAAGACCCTGAGCTGAGATCAAGAGTCAGACACTTAACCGACTGAGCCCCCCAGAAGCCATCCACTATACTTTTTAAAAAAAATTTTATTTATTTATTTATTTGATAGAGATCACAAATAGGCAGAGAGGCAGGCAGGGGGCGGGGAAGCAGGCTCCCTGCTGAGCAGAGATTCCCAATGTGGGGCTCGATCCCAGAACCCTGGAATCATGACCTGAGCTGAAGACAGAGGCTTTAACCCACTGAGCCACCCAGGTGTCCCCACTATACTCTTTTTAAAGCATGTACCTCTTCACTGCGGTTTTTCTAGTCTTCTAGTTTAATAACAATTTTCCTTGATAGGCTGCAAGTGGGGTAAACATTTAGAAGTCCTGTTTTCTCCCCGGGTCATTTATGAACTTTATCTTGTGCTGCGCAAAGTACTGGATTGTAATGAGATAAGGAGTTTTGCGTTAGAATGAGAAATGATTTTCATTGAGAAAATCTTACTGTTAAGAACAACAACTGGGGTGCTTGGTGGCTCAGTCTGTTAAGTGTCCAAATTGATCTCAGCTCAGATCTTGATGTCAAAGTTGTGAGTTCAAGCCCCACACTGGGCTCCATGCTGGGAGTGGAGCCCACTTTAAAAGGAAGAAAAAAAGGGGCGCCTGGGTGGCTCAGTTGGTTAAGCATCTGCCTTTGGCTCAGGCTGTGATCTCAGGGTCCTGGGATCGAGCTCCACATCGGAGTCCCTGTTCAACAGAGTCTGCCTCTCTCTCTCTCTCTCTCTCTCTCTCTGACCCTCCTACCCACTTGTTCATTGTCTCTTTCTCCCTCGCTCCCTCTCAAAAAGAAAAAAAGAAGAAGAAGAAGAAAAAAAGATAAAAACAACAACAGCTGAACTAAAGCAAATGCTTAGTCACATGTTTGGCTTAAATTCTGGCATAAGCTCCTTATCATCTCACAGACCGGTAACAACAGTTTGGGGCCCAGCAGCCAGGTCACGGATCATTCTGAGTAGTAATGTCTCACGCCATCTGCTCCCGGCCATGGGACTCCTGATGCTAGGAGAGAATTCTACTTGCCATTTCATGAGCTCAATTTGGAACTTCCCTCAGTGGGTCCACAGAACTCTTGCAAACCTGAAGGGGTACGGCTAAGGAACAACCATTATTTTGGAGATGTGACATTTGCAGGGTTTAGAATTGTGGAGGTGAGTGATCCTTCAAAAATCTTGTAAGTTATTCAAATAGGACCCGATCCCTCTAAGTTCACTGTTAAGCGAGTTTAAAGTCATTAGCGCATCTGTAGAAGGCCCTTTGACAAAAACTTGAAACCCTGAAGTGGGAGGCCAGCCTTTGACATCACTTCATTAACACAAGCATATAAATCAAAGTTTTATTTTCACTCAGTAGCCCAGGGCTCTCTTCTCCTCTTACAGAAGCACCCCTCTGCGGGGGTGCTGTCCCCTTGAGCCAGGACAGGACATGGGACACATTAGCATGTGGCGTTATATCCGAGAGTGTTCTTCAGGAGCTCAGGAACTCATCTGTACCAACTCTAGGGCCAGTGCAAAAAAGTATGGAGAATTGGTGGAATTATTAGTAAAATAAATATTTCAGATGCATCTTGGTTCTTGATGATACCAATCGTTGTCTCCTATTCGCAGATGCTAAATAATTCAAGAAATCACTGTTCTGGAAACTTTTCGTGGTCAGATTTAGAGACGTTAGTCTTTTTTAGTAGCTCGTGTTTTTTCAATTGTTTTCTATCAGTAAAGAGTGCCAAATTTACATCACTGTCCTCAATTCCTTCCCAAATCCCAAACATGTATTTCTAGCAACTTATGAACTCTCTCTACCCAGGTGATTTTTCTCAACTAAATTTGAACCGTGTTTCCCCACCAGGTTATAGATACAAAATCACAAGCATAATCTGCCGTGTGCATACAGTTTTGGAAACTATAACCACACCAATTACATACCAGCATCCATGTCCTCTGGTCCCCTTCCCTCCTGAACTGGCCCTTCCCCATTTCGTAGCAACCCTGAGTTTTGGGGGGGACTAACTCTACTTCCAGCATCCCTAATAAGCCCTCATTGGTGCAAATCAAATCTTTTTTTTTTTTTAAAGATTTTATTTATTTATTTGACAGAGAGATCACAAGTAGGCAGAGAGGCAGGCAGAGAGAGGGGGAAGCGGGGTCTCTACCAAACAGAGAGCCCGACGCAGGGCTCGATCCCAGGACCCTGAGATCATGACCCGGGCCGAAGGCAGAGGCTTAACCCACTGAGCCACCCAGGCGCCCCTGCAAATCAAATCTTATCCCCCCTGCAATTAAATCTGGACCAGACTACACTAGGATTAATGTAAGTTGGTGCAGTTAGGGCAAAGCCAAGTGCTTTTGTTCACTGGATACGTGAGGTAAGGCTCTCACTCCCACTGGCTGCTGCTGCAGAAAGCCTTAGCATTGAAAGTTTATAACAGAAGCTGGCCTCAGGGTAAATCACATGGAGGAAAGTAGAACTGAGTGAATTTTAAGAAGAAAAGGAAAGAGGCACCTGGATGACTCAGTCGGATAAGCCTCTGCCTTCAGCTCAGGTCATGACCCCGGGGTCATGGGATCGAGCCCTGCGTCGTGCTCTCTGCTCAGTGGGGAGTCTGCTTCTCTCTCTTTCTCTGCCTGCCTCTCTGCCTGCTTGTGATCTCTCTCTCTCTCTCTCAAGTAAATAAATAAAATCTTGGAAGGGAGGGAGGGAGAGAGAGAGAGAGGAAGGAGGAAAAGCAGTAGCAGCTGCGGCAGCCTGGGTCAAACCATGTCTATGACCTAATTTCGAACTTTTCATTACACGAGCCGATATTCCTCCTAATTATTAAAGTGAGTTTGAGTTGGATTTTCTGTGTGTTTTTTTTTTTTTTTCTGTTACTTGCAACTCAAAGCATCCGAACTCCTACAGCTTGCCTACAAAAGCTATTAAAAATCAACCAATCACAAATATGTATCAGACATTAGACATAATCAAGGCACTTGAGAGAGTCTTCAGACACTGAAAAATGGGCTGTTTAAAATCTAACTGGAAATAAGTGATGAGGGTCACTGTAACAGCAGCAATCACCAATGACATAGTCCTCTCTCCGAGCCAGACACCACACTCTGCTTCGCACTGACAATCCTGCTTCCCATTCACAACAACCCCGGAAGGTGAGGGCAGGTAAGATTATCCCTATTTCCAGAAAAGAAAATGTGAGTTCAGAGAACTCATGAGAGAAAAACTCTCTAAAGGCCTGATACACGAGGGAGGCCATCTTAGATTTCTTCCTAAGTTCGCATGACTGTATGTAAACTTTGTTCGAACCAAAAGCCTGATGTATTGCCCGCCACATGTGCAAAGTCCATCTGCTTTGTGAGTGAGTAACCTCAAGGAAAACCATCTTGTCCCTGCGGCATCTCAATCAATGCTCCTGCTCCCCGCACTCCTTTATGAGGAAACTCGTGATGCCTGCCTACATGCTGATCTGTCATCTTTTCAGCTTTTACAAGATGTAAAAATGTACATAAGCCTGTAGAAACTGTTCACCCTCTGGAGCACTTTCTTCCCTGTGAAAAGTGTGTTTCCTCAGCAGTTGTCCTAACTTGGGCTCGAATAAAACTCTCTTGCTTTCTGAGATCCTAAAAAGTTTGTTCAGGGGCACCTGGGTGGCTCAGTGGGTTAAGCCGCTGCCTTCGGCTCAGGTCATGATCCCAGGTCCTGGGTTCAAGCCCCACATCGGGCTCTCTGCTCAACAGGGAGCCTGCTTCCTCCTCTCTCTCTGCCTGCCTCTCTGCCTACTTGTGATTTCTCTCTGTCAAATAAATTAAAAAAAAAAAAAGTTTGTTCAATTTGCTTTGACAAAGCTTATGTACTTTCACAAGCAAATAAGAAATATAGAAGAGGGGCGCCTGGGGGGCTCAGTCGGTTAAGCAACTATCTTCAGCTCAGGTCATGATCCCAGGTTCCTGGGATCAAGCCCCACATTGGGCTCCTTGTTCCACAGGAGCTTGCTTCTCCCTCCCCTTGCTGCTCCCTTGTTTGTATTCTATCAAATAAATAAATAAAATCTTTATTTTTTTAAGGGTTTTGTTGTTTGTTTGTTTGTTTGTTTTTGTTTTTACAGAGAGAGAGATAGAGAGAGAGGGAACACAAGCAAGGGAATGGTAGAGGGAGAAGCAGGCTTCCTACCAAACAGGGAGCCCAATGGGGGGCTCTATCCCAGGACCCTGGGATCATGACCTGAGCCAAAGGCAGATGCTGAATGACTGAGCCACCCAGGCACCCCAAATAAATAAAATCTTAAAAAAAGAAAAGAAAGAAATATAGAGGAATCGACACCCAAGTCTGTGATGTCAAGGCCTGCTGAGCTTTTAATTATGCTCTTTATGTGATTCTGCTATTATGTGAACTAAAATTCAAAGAAGGGGGGAAATCATGTTAAATCATTGATATTTTGCAGGGAAAAAAATTGAAGAATATAATAGAATATGAGCTTAAAATATTATGATAAATGTCAGGCAAAGTAACAGATGTAAGATAATTGTGACACTATCATAACCTTCCAGAAGACGGTTCCATACAAAAAAAGATTTGGACTTATAATATCACAAGCATGAGCTTTTTTTTTTTTTTAAGATTTTATTTATTTGACAGAAAGAGACATAGTGAGAGAGGGAACACAAGCAGGGGGAATGGGAGAGAGAGAAGCCAACTTCTCACTGAGCAGAGAGCCCAACGCAGGGCTCAATCCCAGGACCCTGGGACCATGACCTAAGACAAAGGCAGATGTTTAACGACTGAGCCAGCAAGGCGCTCCAGGAATGGGCTTTTTTAAAGCATTTAATTCTACTTGCTAACTTCAAATAAAATAGTAGCAGTTATAAAAGTTGTAACTAGAGCTAACACTTAGAGAATGTGCCAGGCATTTTTTTAAACACTGTAGAACTCTAACTTCCTATAACTCACTGAATCCTTACAAAAACCCAAGAATGCTGGGACTAACATGATCCCCATTTTACATCTGGGGCAAATGAGGCACGCAGAGGTTAAATAATCTGCCCAAAGTAGCAGCAAGGAAAGGACAGGGCAGGATTCTGCCCCAGACCTTGTGCCCTCCAGAATTCATGCTCTTAACCATCATGCTAGAGATACTCAAGCATGTAAATGTCTTGTGAGTAAAACATTTGAATATCTACCTGGCAAAGCTATGAGGCAGGAAATGTGTTTTACAGTTTGGTGTGACAGAGAGAATGTATAAAGATTTTGGCTCTTATTAGTGGGGCTCGACTCAAAGCCAGGCTCGGCGACTTACTAGTTCTGTGACCCTGGGGGTGTTAACACACTTCTTTCGGTCCCAGATACGGGACTATCTTCCTCCCAGATCCAGGACTATCTGACTATCTGACTTCCAATACAGGCTGCCATTATTCCTTTCTGTTCTTACCAAAGAACACTGCTACCAAGGCACTCTCACAGAATATCGTCAAGCAGCCAGATAATTTTAGAAACACCTATTGTTTGAATTAAAGTAGACATTAAAAAAAAAAGTGGTTTGTATGCAGGCAAAGCTTGTGCCGCTGACAAGTTGGAAAAGGAAAAAATTATTACCAATTACTTCGTAATACTTCTATGGAGACGTAAGATAATACTTTTCAAGTACTTACAACGGCTCTACCACAAAACCAGATTCTAAGCAGGAATGCAGTGAGAAATCTTAATTTGCAGTTTGAATACTCTAAACATAAAAAATACTAACAAAAAACACGCAGTGCTTTAAACTAGCTTTAATGACACCTACCATGTCTGCAAAAGAACTGAATGACGACTTTGCACTGATCGGATCTGGTGAAAATTCTGCAATTCTCTACATTTCTTTCGAGGGAATTCAGACATCTAAAGATGGGCAGAATTGACTGTAACACAAATACAACATAGAACAGCACATACTTAATACAGTTTTGGTTAGTTTAACTAACAAAAGAAGAGTATGTATATTCGTAAGTGAATAGGTTTGGCCTACATGCTTTTTTAAAAAATATTTTTAAATTTTTATTTCTGTTTTGAACTACGTGACTATGTAATGTCAACCTTAAAAATAAAATAGCCTGTGGGGCGCTTGGGTGGGTCAGTGGGTTAAAGCCTCTGCTTTTGGCTCAGGTCATGATCCCAGGGTCCTGGGATCGAGCCCCATATCGGGCTCTCTGCTCAGCATGGAGCCTGCTTCCTCCTCTCTCTGCCTGCCTCTCTGCCTACTTGTGATCTCTGTCTGTCAAATAAATAAATAAAATCTTTCAAAAAAAAAAAAAAAGAAAAAGAGAATAGCCAATATTAATTTCTTTTCTGGGTTGAGAAGGTATTTTCCCCTTCTTTTAACACTGTATTTTCTCTCTCTCTTTTTTTTAATTAAATTCAATTAATTAGGGGTGGCTGGGTGGCTCAGATGGTCAAACGTCTGCCTTCGGCTCAGGTCATGGTCTTAGGGTCCTGGGATGGAGTCCCGCATCGGGCTCTCTGCTCAGCAGGGAGCCTGCTTCCCCCTCTCTCTCTGCCTGCCTCTCTGCCTACTTGTGATCTCTCTCTGTCATATAAATAAATAGAATCTTTCAAAAAAAATTTTAAATAAATTCAATTAATTAACATAGTATAATACAAATTTCAGAGGTAGAGTTTAATGAGTCATCAGTTAGTTACATGTAACACCCAGTGCTCATTATATCATGTGCCCTCCTTAATGCCCATCACCCAGTTACCACAAACTCCCAGCCACCTCCCCTCCAGCAACCCTCAGTTTGTTTCCTATAGTTAAGAGTCTCCTGGGGCACCTGGATGGCTCCATCAGTTAAGCATCTGCCTTTGCCTCAGGTCATGATCCCAGGGTCCTGGGGTAGAGCCCTGCATTGGGCTCCCTGCTCAGCAAGGAGTCTGCTTCTCCCTCTGACCCTCACCCTGCTCATGCTCGTGCTCTCTCTCTCAAATAAATAAAATCTTTAAAAGAAAAGAGAGAGAGAGAGAGAGTCCTTTATGGTTTGTCTCCCTGATTTCTTTTTTTTTTTTTCAAAGATTTTATTTATTTATTTGACAGAGAGAGATCACAAGTAGGCAGAGAGGCAGGCAGAGAGAGAGGGGGAAGCAGTCTCTCTACTGAGCAGAGAGCCCCATGCAGGGCTCGATCTCAGGACCCTGAGATCATGACTGAGCTGAAGGCAGAGGCTTTAACCCACTGAGCCACCCAGGCGCCCCATGGTTTGTCTCCCTGATTTCATCTTATTTTATTTTTTCATTCTTTCCCCTTTGATCCCGTTTCATTTCTTAAATTCTACATATGAGCGAAATCATATAATTGTCTTTCTGTGGTTGACTTATTTCACTTAGCATAATACCCTCTGGTCCCATCCATGTCATTGCAAATGGTAAGATTTCTTTTTTTTTTTTTTAATTTTATTTATTTATTTGAGAGAGAGAGATCACAAGTAGGCAGGGAGGCAGGCAAAGAGAGAGGGGGGAAGCAGGCTCCCTGCTGAGCAGAGAGCTCGATCCCAGGACCCTGAGATCATGACCTGGGCCGAAGGCAGAGGCTTAACCCACTGAGACACCCAGGCGCCCCAAGATTTCATTTTTTTTAAAGATTTTATTTCTTTGACAGAGAGAAAGATCACGAGGAGGCAGAGAGACAGGGGGAAGCAGGCTTCCTGCTGAGCAGAGAGCCCGATGCGGGGCTCGATCCCAGGACCCTGAGATCATGACCTGAGCCAAAGGCAGAGGCTTAACCCACTGAGCCACCAAGGTACCCCAGATTTAATTTTTTGATGGCTGAACAATATTCCAATATTCCATTGTACATATATACCACATCTTCTTTACCAATTCATCTGTCAATGGACATCTGGGCTCTTTCCATAGTTGGGCTATTGTGGACATAGCTGCTATAAACATTGGGGGGTCCTGCATGCCTTTTAAACCATGTATTAAATGCAGAATAGATGTTATGTCCTGTGTAATAAAAAATTTCTACAATACCAGAGAATACCAGGGCCACTTAGATTTACCTTCATTCCCAATTTGCAATTTAAATTTGATGTTGTCGAATCATTCTCATTTACTTTCACTGAGGTTGACCATTGATAATGTTGAAAAAACAGAGGAGAGAAGAGGACACATCCGTATGCTGACCGACAAGAATTCACAGATCTTAGAGCAAGCTGAAAAATAAGAGGTATTAAGGAAAAAACTTTCTTTAAATGATTAATTTTAAAAATTCTATTTTGTTTAAGACTGCAATTAAATGTGTTCAAATAAGGCTGTGGGATGGTAACTGCATTATATGGACTACCTTATACATATGAATTATTATAAATATTAAATGGGTTGTGTCATCATTGTATATTGAATTCGCATACATATCCATACATGGATACACATCTATATTGAAAACATGGAAGTATTAACTCTAAAATCTTGCATGTTGAAATTGTAAAGTTGTAAATGCCTTTAACTTTAATGCAATATAAGTTGGCAGAAGGCAATTTAAAAGAGCGTAAGAAGATGGCAGCAAAATGGCAATCCCTTGCCTCATCTAAAGTGAGAAACCATCAGTCAGTGCCAGCCAACTACCGCCACCTGGGAATGCTGGCCTCAAACTGTCAGCTCTTCTTTTTTTTTTTTTTTTTTTTTTAAAGATTTTATTTATTTATTAGAGAGAGAGAGAGAGAGAGAGCATGAGCACAGGCAGACAGAGTGGCAGGCAGAGGGAGAAGCAGGCTCCCCGCTGAGCAAGGAGCCCGATGTGGGACTCGATCCCAGGACGCCGGGATCATGACCTGAGCTGAAGGCAGCCGCCCAACCAACCGAGCCACCCAGGCGTCCCAGATCTTCTAAGTTTTTAAGAGAAGAAAGAAACTCAGATCTTTATGTGGACCTTCCCAATTTTTAAGCTTAGGAAATTTTTTCATTTGGGGCGCCTGGGTGGCTGAGTCATTAAGCGTCTGCCTTTGGCTCAGGTCATGATCTCAGGGTCCTAGGATCAAGTCCGGCATCGGGCTCCCTGCTCAACGGGAAGCCTGCTTCTCCCTCTCCCACTCCCCTTGCTTTGTTCCCTCTCTCACTGTTTCTCTCTCTCTTTCTCTCTCTGTTAAATAAATAAATAAAATCTTTTAAAAAAAAAAAATGAGTGCATGGGGCTCCTGGGTGGCTCAGTGGGTTAAGCCTCTGCCTATGGTTCAGGTCATGATCCCAGAGTCCTGGGATCGAGCCCCGAATCGGGCTCCTCTGCCCAGCAGGGAGCCCGCTTCCTCCTCTCTCTGCTTGCTTCTCTGCCTACTTGTGATCTCAGTGTGTCAAACAAATAAATAAAATCTTAAAAAAATAATAAAAATTTTTAAAAATGAGTGCAATCCCACAAAACATATCTAGCCTCTTGACCATCAGTTTGCAAGATCTGATTTAAATCTCGTGTGTTTCTCTGCATGATTTTTATAATATGCTTTCAGTGTATTCAGATATGTAAAATAAAGATGAACAGTGAAAGGAATAATTACAATTTCTGGGTTTCCAAATTAACATTCAGTCTGGACTGGGATCTTTAAACATCTTCTTTTGCCTTAATAGATGGTATATCTTACTTACACCTTTTTCAGATGGGTCTAGCCACAGCTCGTCACTGATTCGTGATAGAGCTTGGATTGCTTTTCCAAATACTACGGAGAAAAAGAAAGGTACTGCTTACATTCTTTCCTCAAACAATAAATACAAATCATAGGACTACTTCAGCATTCACAGGACTCAAGTTTTAATGCACAAAAAACAGTGTTTTATAGATCAATGCTAAAAATTGTTTTAAATACATAATAATACTCTTGACAAAATGTGAGACATATAGTAAGAGCTCAATAAATTTACAGTGTGTGCAAAATGATAAATTGCACACTCTTCCTTTCTGTATATTTGCATGGAGCTACTGTGGCAAGCCAATTTCCATACTAACGTATTTTTAGACTTGGTTTAAATACATATATTACCTGCCTCCTCTCCCCTCCCAAAAAAGAAGTGTGAAAACAGAGCATGGAGGGATTTGAAGGAATTTAATAACTTCACAGGTGGCAAGGTCAACACAGAGAAATTAGAGAAATTAGAGGCATTCAAGATGCATCTCTGATATTTGAGGTTAGCGTGCAAGATGCCAGATCTTCCCACCAAACACACTCAGATGCCGTGTAAGGAAGAGAGGCTAGGCTGGGTGACATATCTGTCTAATCTGATATGACAGTTTTAATATTCTTAACAATTATGAATAAGTACAAAATGTGGCAGATAGAGGATACTATGCAAGCCCCATGTTGGGCTCTATGCTCAGCATGAACCCTGCCTCTCTGTCTCCCAAATAGATAGATAAAATGGATGGCCACATCAATCCACAGAACAGTAGAAAAAAGAAAAAATTCCAGAACATAAAATCAAATTATAATGCTTAAGAATCAGAAGCGTGTGAATTGGGGATGCCAGCCCGAAATTGAGGTAGAATGAAGGGGGACCGGGGCGAGGGGGGGAGGTTAGAGGCATTTCTCCCTTTTTATCACTTCCTATTCGACACTTTTTCCCGGAGCTGCCTGATGCAGACCTTTCACTCATCCAATGAATAGTTTTTGAGCCCCTACTATGTTCCGAGTACAACCTACCGCCATGCGGGCAGAGCAATGAACAGGACAGGAATGGATCCTGCCCTCCCAGTGCCTTGAGCCCTGTCCAGGAGGAAAAGCAAAACAATCATACAAATATTTGTTTATTGAGAACTGAGCTATACCCTGCTAGAGAAGTTCTAGAACACTGAGAACCTGTAACAGCCGGGAGCTTGTGCTTCCCTTTCCTGTTCATTACTACCGTTCCACGGATGGCCTCAACCCAGAGGAAGCTAACCACGACACAAGACGCCCTTCTACGGTCATTTCCATGTTACAATCGGTAGAAAACCGGTCTTCTCTTAAACAGAGACTTTCTGGAGTAACTGATGTGTAAGTACCATTGATAACATATAGCAGTTCCTGCGCCGTCCCGTCTATTACTGAGCTCTTTACATGCCTCTGTTTCATCCCTACATCCCTACACAGAATTTATGACTAAAATTCTGTCATTATTCTCATTTTTACAGAGGAGGAAACGGAGCCCCCCAGTGATTCAGTGAATTGTCCCAGGTCCTACATCGAAAAATGGTAGAATCCGGAATAAAAACCAGGTTGATGCTTTCCTCATGGGACTAAAATACTTGAACTGTTCAAACATCTTCCCCCTCCCCCCAACTCCTCCTCACGCAGTCCTTATCATTCTGAGTTTGAGGCCCGCATTCCAAATCTCTGTTCCAATGGTGCAGGTTCATTTCACGGACACTGAAGACAATAAATACTATGCATTAATCAAAGCAGACAGGCCCTCTTCTTCCCCTCGGAAGCTACTAGGAGCCTGGGTGGGTGGCGGCGGTTCATGGTCAGGCCTTGTGTCGCCAACCCCTACGCATAACGGGCAAAAGGGAAATCGCCACCATGAACCTTAGTCTCTCTCTCTCTCAATCGCCCTTTTTTTTTCTTTCCCTTTTCTACATAGGAAGGCAAGAAAAGTCCTCCACCTTTCACCTGACTGCCGCTCATCCCGCACTTCAGCATGGCCGCGGGCCCTAACAAGCCGCGCTCCAAGGCACGCCTCTGCTCGACGGCCCCCAGATGCCCGGATGTCGCCCGCTCTTTTCGAAGGTTCGAGATCTTACTCCTTCCCCCCCCCTCCCCTTCCCCCACCCCGCCACCATTTCCCAAGGAGCAGCTACGTTTTACGGCGGGGAAGGGCCTCTGCGGGCCTCCGTAGGCCGGCTTCCGCCGACTTCATCTGTCATTGGTTGAGAGCGAAGTGGGCGGGTCGCCGAGGAGCCCGAGGAAGAAGGCGGCGGCGGTGCTGGTAACTGAGCGGAGCCCAGTGACAGGATGGTGAGGACGGCAGATGCGGCGACCGAGGCCTAACTCTTGGCCGCGGTGCTAGCGTCGTTGGGAGCAACTGGGAGTCTCTAGGCGATTGCGTGGGCCATTTCGGAGTTGGTGGCGCGCAGCCCAGGGCCAGGCCTGGAGAAGGCCCAGGGGGAGGGCAGGAGAGGATAAGGAGCAGCCGCCTCTGGGTGCGGCCGGCTCTGGCCTCGCATCCCCGACCCGGGGGCCAGAGGACGTCCGTGGTTGGGAAAGGGCCCGTCTCAGCGGCTCGTCCAGTCACGAGACCCGCACGCCCGATCCGGAAAAGGCCTCTAGGACTGGGCCTCCAGCGTCCCCGAGAGAGGGGCATAGCATCCCCTCCGTTTCCAGACGTTTCCCTACTCCTTTCCCTCAAAAGGCACCTCCGGCTGCTTGGGGTATGCTGGTTGCCACCACATGTGTTGGAAGCTGGCTTCTGAGATGCAAAACGGGAAGTAACGAGCATAATCCCCTATCCATTTTAATTTGCCATCTGGGGAAAAGGGGTACAAACTATCCCTTTCGCCCTTGAAATAAAGTGCAGCTGCCATTGAAATGTGGTAGTGAGTCCCCAGGGGACTGGATTTGGCTTTTAGAATGGCTGGAACTGTTGTTTTCTAAAGGGTTTATGAGCTCCCTGAAATTAGAAAATTTTGTGAATATGTATGTTTTTTCAGGTAAAGAGCCAGTGCTGGCGCCAAGGGGGTACTTTGGGGAGTTTTACCTCAGTCGTTCATCAGATTGCCCAGCCAGCTTCAGGGCTGGCCCCCCACGCGCTGGTCTCCAGTAGGTTTCTGCCCCTAAGACCGTCCTACCTAAAAACTCAAGAGCTGCTACTGAAGAGGGCCCATAACTGTAATCAGATTTTCAGAGGTGCCTTTCACCCCCTAAAAAGTTAAGAACGTGTTCAAAAAGAGCTCCGATTATCAGTATTTTTGCTATTTGTGTTGCTGAGGGTAACTCTAAAGGGACTTCTTTTTCTGATAAGCATCCATGGTGTTTTTAAGATTATCACGGTTCTATGACAAGCATATCCTTTAAGGTGGCTTATAGATGTGACAGCCAAAGATTTATGGTACATGCTTCTTTGGTGTCTTTGTATACGTGAAAGGCGTTAATCCCATTTTTGATTTTTGCTTCTAAACAGACTCCAGTTCAGAGTGATCTGGTTTACAGGAATTTTGAGACAGTTTTGAGAAGATGACATGATTCCATACTCATGTTTCTAAAGTTTTTTTGAAAGATGAGCACTTCTTTAGGGTAGTTATACTGGAACATAACTTGTCACCTGAGATAGAATTGGGCAAAATTTAGCATTAGCTGATTCTTTTATGATTAAAAACCTTTCACTTGGCAAAGTAGACTAGAAATGTTCAACACTTAGTAATGTCCAGTGTCAGTGGGCAGCAAATTCAGGTGTGGAGAGGGTCCAATTTTGGCTGGAGGAATGTTTTTGCTCTTTTATCATCTTTAGTTGGTGACTTCACCATCTGATAATTTATTCAAAATGCTGTGTTAGGTCTATACAAAACAAGGATCTAGCTGTGGCATAAATTTTCCACCTGCTAGAATCTTGAGCATAAGAGAATTAAAATGAGTATACTTGAGGAATAGTCTTTAAGAATCCACAAAATGTTAGCTTTCATTTACATTGTTACTGATGAATTTTCCAAATTGTCTTATAAAATTCTAGACAACAGGAAACGAAAGGGGAGGAAGGCAATATAGAGAATAAGATGAGAAGCAGAAAAAATTGACAAGGCAGTTTTCCTTTTTCTTTTTTTACAATGTGTGTATGTGTGTGTCATGTTTAAAAATACAGCAAATGGTCCTTTTGGTGATGTTTTGAGCAAAGCCAATTTTTAACATTTTCTCTCATAACACCCAGAAATCATTAACAATTGTTTGCGTATTCATTTGATACGAGTTTTTTGTTGCTCTGTTTTTGGTTTGTTTCTTTTCGTTGCTTTCTTTTAACATTGGTCATGTTTCACCCTTTTTTTTCATTCCCCTGTCTGCAATCAACTTCTTCATTCCACTAAGGCTGGGCACAGAGTAAGTTTCTTCTCTTAGCTCATACTAACAACGGTGGTCGGGTGGCTGATTACTGGGATTTTCACCCTTTTACAGTCTCTCCAATAGGAAGTAGCCAACTTCCTATGCTTTGATTGGGTTGGTTCTTATTTGAATTTAATAAGACTGCCAGTTCAGGATCTTTTGCTGTCTCAAAAGACTATAAAGTTTGTCTAACCTGAACTGTCCACAAAGTGTGGAGTTTGGGCGAGGAAATTCCTCAGAGTATGACATTTGTTATGTGACACTATAATTTAGTCACCTACATGAAACAAGAGTCTTAGTAAGAATCTTTACTAATTTGAAATAATTTTTGTTTGGTCATTCCTATAGTTATATCTTTAAACTGCTAATAATCTGGGTACACTTGGGCATAATCCAGAATACATGATAGAATTGAGGTCATTGATCATTATGAAGTATCATGTCATACTAATATCTTTTTGAGCACATTCAGATTGAACAGCTCATTCATTATCAGTTCCAAAGATTTTCATTCTGCGGTAGACATACGCCCTTTATGAGTTTGAGGTTCTTTTTTTTTTTTTTTTTTTTAACTATAGAAATGTATTTTTTTTACCTTTTTCTCAAATGCCAGCTTCCCACATTAACTATGTACTTCAGTCCATATCCGAAGGGATCCCCCTCTAAAGATGAAGACTGTTCTCTCTCCAGGTACTTTTGCATTGATTACCCATGAGAGTTGAAACTTCGTAGTTGTTTTTAGTTTTACAGTAAGATGTCTTATCCGCGAAGATCTGGATTGAAACCATTTTTTTTTTTTTTAAGATCTTATTTATTTGACAGAAAGAGACACAGCGAGAGAGGGAACACAAGCAGGGGGAGTAGGAGAGGAAGAAGCAGGCTGCTTGTGGAGCAGGGAGCCCGATGTGGGACTCGATCCCAGGACCCTGGCATCATGACCTGAACCAAAGGCAGAAAGGCAGGTGCTTAAGGTCTGAGCCACCCAGGCGCCCCTGGATTGAAATAATCAAGTCACTGAACAAATACTAGCTGAAACTGCTCTTTAAAAAGAAGAAACTTATTTAACAATTTCTTTTTAAAGTATGCTAATTTTGTAATCTTGCGTTACTTCAGTTACTCTTCAGTTACTCTGTGTCCTGATAACAGTTCCTTTCCTTTGTAATCATGTTGATATTTGTTGCAAGATGAGTCAAGTTTGTTTTAGTAATAATTATAGTTTCACACATTTTGTTTTTGATTAATTTCAGTTCACAAAGTCTATGGTGGCAAAACTATTTTGTTTTTATTCTACTTTAGATATTTAATGTTTTCTTGGATAATATTAAGGAATAGTCATGCCTTCTTTAAAAGGAGTTAAAGGGCATGTACATTTATGGATGGGATGAAAACATCCTGTTACAGAATGAAGGTGTCTGTACTAATCAACAGGAAGAAATTGATTATTGTCCTTTGGATGACAAATATTTAAAATGACCTTTGACAATATTCCATTAAATGACTGAATTAAGTGATGTTAATATGTCAACTTTTGAAATTGTTAAATTAAGATTTTACAGGATTGAAGTTTTTTATTCTGTTATACTTAAGTACAAAATTTATTTTTGTCATCTGAGACTGTATTGCAACTCTAAACCACCTCCTGCTAAATTCATCACTTTTTTAGCTGATTTCTTTCTCTCTCTCTCTAATGCTCTAATGCACACGAAAGACTTAAAATGTTATTTTAAGTTTGGGAACCAAACTGAGGATACATAGGCCATTTAATCTAGGCAGTAAAAATATGACAGCGAGTATTTCTAATTAGAAGAGAGAACAGAGATCATAATTCAAAAGCATGTGTTTGTCCTATTGAAACTCTTTGAAACATAGGCTGTTTTTTTTTTTAAGATTTTATTTATTTATTTGACAGACAGAGATCACAAGTAGGCAGAGAGGCAGGCAGAGAGAGAGAGGAAGGGAAGCAGGCTCCCTGCTGAGCAGAGAGCCTGATGCGGGGCTCGATCTCGGAACCCTGAGACCATGACCTGAGCCGAAGGCAGAGGCTTAACCCACTGAGCCACCCAGGCGCCCCACATAGTCTGTTTTTATTCCTTTGTACTATATAGCTAATAGTTTTTAGTGACAAATATTGTAACTTTTGGCTGCTTTTCCTCTAAATAGTTTCAGTCTAGTAAACATAAATTACAGAATTAAGTTTTTTCTCTGTCACTACATTTTTAACAATTCTCTTCATTAATGTTCCTGGAACACTGGAATCAGTACATTATGTTTGACATTATAGCTGCAGAAATATGAATTACCATATCATTCAAAAATGCCAAATTCCATAGGACCCCACAGTATATTTTTCATTTTGCAATTTTTAAAATTCAGTGTCATTTATAGGTCTCTAAATGAATTGCTTAAGAAAGCCTGATTTTATTCTTGGTAAGTAGAATGATGACCTATATTGTGTATGCACACTGTTTATGACCAGAATAAGGCTGATTAGAACACAGTATGTAACATACCATACGTGTCTTTGTTTAAATGGTCATGATAACTATACAGATAACTTCTACTCTTTTGGGTTCTGGAATGTCTGCTTAGTTTAATTTACAAGGGGAGTTAAAGTTAAGGAGAACATCTTGTTTTGACGTCATGTTTGACATTACCCTTGTCTCACCTTGACACTTTAAAGTTGGTGTTGGTATTAGGAGACCTGCACATCCCACACCGGTGCAACAGTTTGCCGGCCAAATTCAAAAAACTGCTGGTGCCAGGAAAGATTCAGCACATTCTCTGTACTGGAAACCTTTGCACCAAAGAGAGTTATGACTATCTCAAGACGCTGGCCGGTGATGTTCATATTGTGAGAGGAGACTTCGATGAGGTGATGTATTTCTCTTTCCATTCACAAATATTTCTTTTCTTGATACCTACATGTATAAGCTTTATCCTTTACACCTGAGTTTCTCACCTGTCATGGTCTTTTTATTGTTGTTAACTTCCCCAATACAAATTTACTTACACTACTTTTTCCTTACTGTTTAAAAATCACCATGTTAGACTAAACATATTACCATACTTGTTCTAAACTGATTGATATGGACTAAAAGTGATTTTGTCACTTTTTTATAGTACTGTCACTTAGTTTATAAAGTTTTTATTACAGACTTTTCACCACTGCCTTTACTACCCTGTTCCAAGCCACCATATCACTTTCCTGTGTTCCAGCTTCCTCATTCTACCCTTCCTCCCTTCATAGTTAGTTCTCCAAGTAGCAACCAGTGTGATCCTTTTTAGGTGAAGTAAGATCACATCACGACTATGCTGAAAACCCTGCTGTGGGTCTCTAACTCCAGGGTTAATTACAAAAGGGCATGAGGAAGTTTGAGAAGGTGATAAAACTGTTCTGGGTCTTGGTTGTGGCAGAGCTTACATAATTGTATGCATTTGTCAAAACCCCTTAAATTATACACTAAAAAGTAATTTTAGTATATGTGAATTATACCACAATAAACCTGACTTTATTTTTTTTTAAAGATTTTATTTATTTATTTGACAGAGATCACAAGTAGGCAGAGAGGCAGGCAGAGAGGGGGGAAGCAGGCTCCCCGCTGAGCAGAGAGCCCGATGTGGAGCTCGATCCCAGGACCTCAGGATCATGACCTGAGCAGAAGGCAGAGGCTTTAACCCACTGAGCCATCCAGGTGCCCCTAAACCTGACTTTAAAGAACAGTTAGAAGTTCTGAGATTGCAGCTTTGTTCATTAGTTAATAATGAGATTTTAGGCAAATTACATCTTTCTGGCCTCAGTTTCCTCTTATGTAAATATGATTGGAGTAGATGATTTTTAAGAAGAATTTTTTTGCATTTCTGGGAATATAAGCTTTTTCACAAATCATTTAACTTCATTGGTGCTGTTTATTGGTGTTCCTTAATACAAAACTGAACAAGCATAGTGTCTTTTTTTTTTTCTTTTTCTTTTTTTTTTTTTTTAGTGGATTTTAAAAAAGAATTCAGATAACCTTTCACCTGGGGGCGAAAGACAGGGAGATGAGAAGGGAAGGGGCAGATTTCTTGTCAATAAACAGAATATAGGTTTGGTTTGTTAAAAACCTATTTGGGGTTCTGTTTATATTATGCTAAAGACAAGTTGGGTTGCAAGAATTAACATTTTTTGCTTCTGATTTAGCTTAACCACTTACTAATGTGTGACCTTGGGCAAGTTATTCTAACCTTTCTTTGCCTCAGTTTCCTCATCCATAAAGTGGGAGTCATAATAGAAGCTACCTCTTAGGATTGTCAGTATTAAATAGGTTGATATTTATAAAACCTTTAGTGCCTGCTTCATACTAAGTGCTGTATGAGTGTTATGTGTCATTATTATTTGAAGCCATCTATATAATTATTAAAGTCTGGGATATAATTTGAACACATCTAGCTTATAGGTCATATACCTAGGATTCTTAGAGGACATTAACAACTTTAGGGGAATAATTATTCTCTATAGCTTTCCCTAAAGAACCCAGATTCTGTTTAAAAAAAAAAAAAAAAAAAGATAAACACGAGGCAGGGATTGCGTGATAAATTCCAGTTTCCCTGAAATAAGGTATGTTTTGAGCATAGTTGTAGCCTTAGAGACTGAGGAGTAATCATATATTTAGTAAATGTGTTGGTTGTGGAGCACTGTATCAAAATATCCACATGGGATTAAATACTTAACCAGGTTAAGTACTAAATCGGTTGTTCTTAAACATCAGTATCTCTTAAAAATATATATATATGTATATACATATATGTATATATGTATATAATGTCTGTTTCTTATTCTAGAATCTGAATTATCCAGAACAGAAAGTTGTGACTGTTGGGCAGTTCAAAATTGGTTTGATCCATGGGCATCAAGTTATTCCCTGGGGAGATATGGCCAGCTTAGCCCTATTGCAGAGGCAGTTTGATGTGGACATTCTTATCTCGGGACACACACACAAATTTGAAGCATTTGAGCATGAGAATAAATTCTACATTAACCCAGGTTCTGCCACTGGAGCATATAATGCCTTGGAAACGTGAGTAGTAATTCGGGAATTTTGTAAAGTTAATAATTGCATGTGTGACATTTCATGAAGGAGGAATGCAACTATTTCAATAATTACAGCCTTTTGGGCAATCTTCTTTGGGGGTTATTTTCAATATATAACAACTAGAATTCTCCTTGAATCCAAATTGTTATAAATTGACATTTTTAGTGCTGGTGCTTTTTAGTACAAAACACTGACATTATTTATATTTTTTTCCAGAAACATTATTCCTTCATTTGTGTTGATGGACATCCAGGCTTCTACAGTTGTCACTTATGTGTATCAGCTAATTGGAGATGATGTGAAAGTAGAACGAATTGAATACAAAAAATCTTAAAAAGCCAGGCCTGTCTTGCTGGGTTTTTTTTTTTCATTCCCCTGTTCAAATCAAGTAATTAAACATATGAGCCACAAAATTGTATCACTTTTGTAATATTTTGCAGTAAAATATATCATCTTCTGTTAATACAATGTTCTAAGCTTCTTGTAAACTATAAGAATATATTCTGTTTCCATATTTGATTTCTATGAAAAAATGTCCATCATACAGTAAATGGTCATGCGTTAAGAAAAATTTATCCTTGTAAATATCTTCAAAGTTGATTATCTGGAACTTTATTACAAAAGTAGTGCATGAGGAAAATGAATCTAGATTTTCTTGTATACGTTTTTCTCTCCAGTAATAAACAGTTACCTTTCATTTGTACTTCCTTGATAAGTTGTGTTTTAATTTTTAAAAATCATGAAAATGAGAGACCATATGAAACTGTGCCTAAGCATTAAAGTGATGAGGTAGATGGGTTGACTTTTGGGGCTCTCTCATTTCTTACAATGCTCTAGAGGTCATATGTTGGGCTCAGATTTGATTTTCTAAAAAATATACTATATTGACATATTAGCAATAATTCCTCAAACTGTTGCTTTAAATTGCCCTATTCCTATATTTCAAGTTTTAATTGTGTATGTACACACACAAACAAACACACACATATATTTTTAAACCAGTGTTTAGAAAGGAAGCACAGTAGAGTGAATATATAATGTAAAGAGTCTTCTTGGTACAATTACTTCCAACTTACTCTGGTTTGAGAGTCCAAGCGTTTGGCAATTTTCATAAAATAGGGCAAGTTGATAATTCCCATTTTTAAGTTATATTCAAGCAGTAAATATCAAGTGCTATTTTGTATCAGACTATTTCAGAGCTTTCCTTAGCCAGATCAAGAAAATACTTGGGGCCCCTGGGTGGCTTAGTGGGTTAACCTTCTGCCTTCTGCCTTCGGTGTGGGTCATGATCCCAGGGTCCTGGGATCGAACCCCTCATCAGGCTCTCTGCTTAGCGGGGAGACTGCTTCCTCCTCTCTCTCTTTCTGCCTGCCTGTCTGCCTGCTTGTGATTTCTGTCTGTCAAATAAATATTAAAAAAAAAAAAAGAGGGGCGCCTGGGTGGCTCAGCGGGTTAAAGCCTCTGCCTTCGGCTCAGGTCATGATCCCAGGGTCCTGAGATCGAGCCCCGCATCGGGCTCTCTGCTCAGCGGGGAGCCTGCTTCCCTTCCTCTCTCTGCCTGCCTCTCTGCCTGCCTCTCTGCCTGCCTGTGGTCTCTGTCTGTCAAATAAATAAATAAAATCTTTAAAAAAAAAAAAAAAAGAAAATACTTATAGGGGATTCTCATGTTTTTGTTCTAGGACTTACTATATGGAGAAAAAGAATTTAGCAATTTATTGGACACATTTAAAGAAAATACAGTTTTAAGCGACAAGAAATTTTTAATTGTATCTAGCTAGAAATACAAGCATATATTACACATAACTTTTGTTACACAAATATCATTAGTACATGGAACTACATCAACCAGTTAATTACACTGTTGTAAACATTTCTGAACAAACTAAAATTACTTAATGACTTCACGGTGAGTAACAATACTATCCTAAATGTAGAAAGAGGACACAATTCACAATCCTCCCCCCCCCACCTTTTGGCACCTCATCAATTCACAAGACTGTCAAGTTCACATCAGGTGTTCTCCTTGTTCTTCAATTGACATCGATTGCATACATTTATTTAGTAAATCTTCTTCCTTTTTTTCTTCATTCATGTATGATTCAGAATCATTTGTAGAAACTGTAAGAAAAATAAGTTTATAATGTCTGTTTTGGAAATACAGGTGTATTTCCTGAAAATGGAGATTTGTATATAAGAACAACCTTCAAAATGACCTTAGTAGTAACCCTTTCACAAAAACAAATGGCCTGCAATTTTCAAAACTTAACCACTTCCTCCCCCCAAATCCCTTACTTTCCCAGTAAGTACTGTATTCAGCAAAGTTATTGTACAGCACATTTTCTGTCACTAAGTCCTATTTTGTCTTCACTTGTCAAAATCTTTTGGTTACAGGAAAGTCATAGCTTCAGCATTCTCTCTGTAAGCATTAAGTTCCTACTCCTCTCTCTCTCAGGGATTACAGGGACTTCCCCCTACCTGGGGTTCCTCCAGCTATTATTTTGGGACCTAGACTTACCTTTTCCCCTGCCATAACCCTCATTTCTTGGACTGTCACACAGCATTGGGATAGGGGTTCCGAAGGCCTAACTTACCTACTTTGTATTTTCTTCCTACTCACTGTAGGAACAACTACAACATTGTTTAACTTCCACTTCATCCTTCCCACTTTATCAATTCTGAGGAATCCTTCTGAACATTCTTTCTTCCCCTCTGGCCCTTTTCATTTTGTGGTCTTCTGAACTTGAAGGATCCTTGGGCACCTGGGTGGCTCAGTAGGTTAAGCCTCTGCCTTTGGCTCAGGTCATGATCTCAGGGTCCTGGGATCGAGCCCCGAATCGGGCTCTCTGCTCAGCAGGGAGCCTGCTTCCCCCTCTCTCTCTATGCCTACCTGCCTCTTTGCCTACTTGTGATCTCTGTTAAATAAATAAATAATTTTTTTTAAATGCTGATGAACTTTTAGGATCCTTTATGCTGATACTTACCAACTCTGGACTTATCTGAGTTGCTCTGCAAAATTTTGATACCACTTGGTTGGCTTGCTTCCACTGGTGTGTGTTGAATACTAAACAAAATTTATATAGGTGATACAGCCCTCTATGATGCCATACAAAATGCTTTGTCCCATCCAAAAATGGCACTATCTCATAAAAGTGCTATGGCTTGAAAAAGTCATGTTTATGGCTCTGGGTTCTAACAAATTCATTCTGTTAAAGTCTCTGACCTTGATATTGTAAATACCTTTGTTTAGAAGTACCTTGAATCTTACTCCCCTGAGGTGAGTATGTTCTTTTAAATGAAAGCAGAAACTGTATTTCATACTCACTTGGAGAATTATAAGCAAATCACATTCTAAATTTTAATGTCTTCTGTAATAGAAATGAAATTAATGGGTTTAATATTTTTTAAGCATAAGATCTTTCAAAATGCATATTTTTAAAATTCCACATTTACCTGATTGCATGAACAGTTTGCCTGGTTTTCTAAAAATCTTCAGTGACTTACATCTTGTTTTAGATGCATATCCAATTTTTAAACTATAAGAAAGAGAAGCATCTTAATTGGAATCAGCAAAATCAACAGCTGTCTAATGCATGTGGAGGACCATACAAATTCTTTTTATTAAGCTGCCAGCATCACTAAAAAGACTCTTTCAGTCTCCTAGGAGTAATTAACCCTGAAACACAAAGCTAACTATTTTAGTGCAGGTTGAATAATCAGTCTTCTTCTTCTCTTTTTTTCTTATTTCCTTTTTTGTTTATAGTTTTCTCCTGTGCAGAAGCAACCATATGCTCCTTCTGGAAGTGTTTGTACTATTTTGAATTTAAGTGGGAATTACTGAAAAGGCCAGTCTTGCCTATCTCTAGCTGATCAAGAAATTTTTACAATTCCACAAAGTGTGTTCTAAAAAGAGTGGCATATCCCAGTGAGATCAGTAAAGAGACTATAAGATCCTTTTGTGCTTTTCATCTAACCTCTTCTGAATTTAGCCAAATGAACCTATTAGGAAACAAGCTTTAATCTCATTTAGCTACCGTTCCAATAAAATTGGGGTGTATTTTCCTCTTTTTAAACAACAAGGAACAGACCCTTCTTTGTTTCTCACTGGTCGCCAAAGGGAATGCTGTAGGATCATTTCCGGTGCGGGTGCAGCGGCCATGTCAAGGGGCCCCGAGTCCACTCTCTCCAGTTGGTGTCGCCATGTGGTGCAGGGGTAATGCTGCTTCTGTGAGTAACGAGAACCGAGGCGGCTCCTGTGATGAGTGAGGATACCTGTCATACAGATCACCTCTGTTAGAAGACCCTCTGGTTTCTTGTAAGAACTAGTGAGAAACGAATGAGGTGCACCTGCCTGGCTTTTGTGAGCTGTGCTGGATCACGTGCATGTACTGCCTCTTCATTAACGTCCGCAGATAGTTGGCGTTATAGATCTTAGCGATGCTACATAGATAACGCTTCTGGCCTGTGGTGAGGTCTGGATGCTAAAAGACAAGATTTATAGGCACTGTAGAACAAGAGGTTGGCAAAATTCCTCATCTGAAAGGGTGAATGTTCAGGAAAGCTGCACCAAACGTACATTTTGCTTATTCAAATTCAACTATGCTAATCTGGCCGAGAAGAGAAAGAAATGGCCATTTAAACAGCACACGTGGGTCCGCCTGCCGTTTCCACTCAAGTGATTCAGATGTGTCTGAGGGGTGAGAACCACTGCCCTAGAAGAGTAAGGAGAGCAGGGATATGCTGCTCTGTCCATGAGTCTTAGTTCCTGTGTGGCTCAGTGAGTGTAGGCATATACCTCAAATACAATTTTTGAGGTATCCTGTGGCATCTGAAAGCGACTCAACTACTCTACTTGGTCTTAACTAAAGAAACAGTCTTTTCTAGCACCAGAAGAATAACTGTCTGTGTTGAACATACTGAGGGATAGTCTATGGGTCTTTGGTAAAAGTAATTTTAACTAAGATTTTCACTTGCTGATTTTAGAAGGTAACACTCACTTAAAATGTATATGTATGGGGGCGCCTGGGTGGCTCAGAGGTTAAAGCCTCTGCCTTCAGCTCGGGTCATGGTCCCAGGGTCCTGGGATCGAGCCCTGCATGGGGCTCTCTGCTCGGTGGGGAGCCTGCTTCCTCCGCTCTCTCTCTCTCTGCATGCCTCTCTGCCTACTTGTGATCTCTGTCTGTCAAATAAATAAATAAAATCTTTTTAAAAAATGTATATGTATGTGTGTATACACAGGATTTACTGAACTGAATAGGTAAATCCAGGGAAAAGTCAAAATGTTGGTCAGATAAATTGACCAATTTGCACAGATCTACTGTAATCTTCATTTGCACTGCTCTCACAACGATACTTCTGGCAGTTATGACCTTTAATAATGGGTACTAGAGGTTCGACCCGTCTTAAAATGCTGACAGCCATTTTCTTTATTTGCTTGCTTCTAATTTTGCAGACCTTCAGTGGAATCTGAATGAAAATGAGTCTGGGTTCCATCTCTGGAATGTAACTTTCCTTATCATAAAGCCCTTGAAGAACTCTTAAGATAAAGAATCTAGGGGCACCTGGGTGGCTCAGTGGGTTAAAGCCTCTGCCTTCGGCTCAGGTCATGATCCCAGGGTCCTGGGATCGAGCCCTGCGTCGGACTCTCTGCTTGGCGGGGTGCCTGCTTCCCCCTCTCTCTCTGCCTGCCTCTCTGCCTACTTGTGA